TTAGGGCACATTTGTGATCGCCTGGTCCTTTGTTCCATCTGCGCACAGCATCGTAGCTAAAAGCAGCTTCAACCTGTTTGGTTCAGACTTGAGGTACAACCAGTTGACAGGCTGTGTCGGTCTCATTGTTTAGTCCACACCTGAGTTTGATTGACAGCTTTCACACTGGCCTAAATAAACCAAACCGGTCCGCACCAAAGTTCATTGGAAACTTTTAAAGATAAACAATGTTGCATAGCAAAAACTAATGGATAGAATTGAATGTATACATGGAGTGTTTCACAAGTCTCTTATTTGTCGTTTCCTCACTCCTCGTTTCTTGCTTGAACCAGAAGTTGTTGATAAATAAGAGTCAAAACTAAAGAAATATTTAAAATCTGATGTGTTATACATTATAGAGTACTACTATGTTGTGATATGTCTAAAATTTCATTCATAGTGGTCTTCAAAAGGTCTTAAAAAGTTTTAATGAAACCTGCGGAAACCCTGCACTAGAAGTGTCGCACTATTTCAGAAGCAAATCTACAATCACATCCGTCAGCGTAACGTTAGCCTCCATCACTCACCTACTGTATGTAACATTAAACATCCTGCTGTGACCCGAGAGAGTGCAGTGAAAAACTGGATGCTTAGAAAGGCTGGTATGAATGTTTTCATGAGTAAAAGTGATGAGGGCTGTTTTTAATTATTATTCAAGTCATGTAATTGACGTGACAAATTAACAACTCACTGTGAACACTGATTGTGAGAGCTACTCTTCTTAGCTCCGGTAGGCTCCAGTCACCTTATGTTTTGTTCTGTGGTGCTGCAGTGTTTTGAACAGAGGAGCTGCAGAGTGCCCTCTGGTGGGCAAACTATGCAACACTCTTGACCTGAGGGATGGATCTGACTCTTTCTTGTTTAATAGTCATATATCGGCTGTTATAAAGACCGATGCAGATATATCTGCAAGTAGCTAATATCAGCCGATAATATCTGTGAAACGATAAATCGCTTGGGCTCTAGGTCTGAGCAACAAAAGCCCCACAAACAACTTTCTACATTTATTAGAAAGATTTTTCTTTTATTTCTCCCATTAACTTTTATTATGGAGACAATTAAAGTCAGAGAATTGGAGAGTCTGTCAGCAAGAAACACGTTTTACATAATTTGTCATTTCTATTCAGTCACATGTGAGGCTGATCATTCCTGTGTTTAGTCCAAATAGACAACAATAAAACATACTAAAATCGTAGCCTAAGGAGTCGGACTAGTCACTAAACTGCACTAAAGTCTCTAATAGGGCTGTCCTCAACTAAGGATTTACATAGTTCAATCAGAATCGTCAAGTCCTGCCTATAGTCAAATCATGTATAAAGCAGCAGCTCACAGATGAACTCCGCTCTTTTCTCCCCTCTCAACAGAGCGGCACTGGACAGCGCAGCCAGAACGCCTCCATTCAGCAGAAGTCTCAGATCAACAAGTCGGCATACAACAGCTACAACTGGGGTGCAAACTAACAACATCCCCCCCCCCCTGTTGACAGAAGCAAGAAGGGGGCTCATCACTCCTTCTGCCAACTGTCTCCACATATAAACTCCCTCTTCCTCCTGCAGAGATTCCCTCCCCAGTCTCTTGGCCCAGCACTCCTGCAGCTCTGACTGCGGTCAGAGGAGGTGCTGTGCTGAGAGAATGAGCACTGTAATGATGCATGGATGGGGAGGGAGGGAGGGAACAGGAGGGGCTTAGAAGAGAGTGGAGATCGGAAGTAGATGGTTATAGAAATACACCGCCAAGAGGTGAAATATTGCGTGTTGGGAATTTGTATCGTGTTAATCCCCCCCCGACCCCCCCCCACCCCCCCATTTTTCTTTCACTTGTATGTAACATAGAACTGTTTTCTAAAAGAATGAATGTTTCCTGTATGGTCGTCGTTTTTTTTTTTTTTTTTTTTTTTATTCTCTTGCTGATGGGGAGGAATGAAGTTAATATCTGAAGGTGGGGGGACAGGCTGGTTTTGTATTTCTCTCCCCCTGTCAATTTTGGTGGAAACTCTTCCCTCCCACACAAATACCCAAACACAATAATTAGCTTAATTGCTGTTGTATTTTTGTTTTGTTTTTCATTTTTATGTCATTTTAAGTTTGAAAAAAACAATTCTCAAAAATTGGTAGAGTTGTGAAGTTTATTTTTTACCAAATATAGATATATTATATATAAAGACATATAAGCAAGCTCTCACTGGCTTGGACTGTGAGGAAAGTGTGTTTGTCATGTGACTGCGTGCATGTTTGTACACACGGGGGGGCCACGGGTTGTGTACTGTGCTTTGTTTTCTGCCTAGCACAGGATTTTTCATTATCCAACACTTGTACAGTAACTGTGTTCCCATGAATTATAAGTATGTCCCACCCCTTCTGCAAGAGATTTTGAGTGATTTCCAAGGCCAATACACACCCAGTCTGCCTTCCAGTGTGTTTTTATTTTGTTTCTGAGGCCCCCCCACCTCCTCCCTGCTCCACCACCTGTCCCCCATTATAAGGAAACCTGAAACATTGAATACTGATGGACAGAATTGTACTATGTTTTTTTTTTTTTTTTTTTTTTTTTTTGTCAGTGATTTTTTTTTTTTCTTTTTGTACTGTGCGTTTTAAAATTTAAATGGATAAACTTGTCTTGTACATATATAAAAAAAACACAAGTACTGTAGTTCCTGTTTGTTCGATGGCTTTCTCCTTTTTCTTCTCAAATCCTTGCAGACTTGTTAGCTTTTTGTTTCATATATTTTTTTTATTTTGTAAAAATATATAAATATTAAGTAAATAAACAGGAAAAAGACATTTTCATCATTTTGGATGTGAATGTCTTTTAAGAAACTATTTGTTTCTCATGTGGCTTGTAAATACAGCAGCATCTCTTTCAACAGTTTGACAGTGATGCCGTGGGGGTGTGGCTTAAGGCTGGCCTTGATTCATCTGACAGCTTGAAACGTTAATTCACAGATTCTTGATATCGGCAGAACAATGAATTGACAAACTGTGAGGAGCTTGTACCATCAAGTGTTTGGCACAGCTGAAACCGTCAGACTCTGAGGTTTTAGGGGTCTGTTATAGGAGTTCTCCAAGGACTCCAGGGGATCAGTATTACCAAATTAAACTCCAATAATAACCTTTGTGATTGACACTTTACTGCTGAACAGGTTGGACTGGCTAAATGTCAAGGATGTCACCGAAATACGTTCAGATTTCCTAAAGAATTGCCTTATACTGCCAAATGTATATCTTCATTCAGAGTAATCACGTCAACATGCAGCCTTGCTGGAGATAAACATGTCTTTCTGTCCTTAATGTGGGGTTGTAGCAGAGGCATTATCAGTGGTAACTTGAAAAGCAGTGGTGGCACGTTTACTTAATTTAATCAAGTAGGGAAACTGTTATGCTACTGTATACTTTTACTCCACCAAATTTCAGAAGGGAAATATTAATTAAATGTACTGGATTCAAAAAGTAACAGTTGCTAGTTACTTTACAGAATAAGATAAATTTTGAATGTGGCATTAAATAAAGGCTCTTAAGTTCTTTCACTGCTACTGAAAAACTTCACTTTGAGTGACTGATCAGTATTCAAAAAGCTGACTAAGTCAAGAAAACCGATCTGTATTTTGCAAAAAAAGGGAGGTTGCATTCAGTCAAACGTCTGAGCTAAAAATGCCTAATTAACCCATTCCTTTATTCATTTCACAATGAGCTATCACAATGCCGTACGTTTTGTGGTGCACAATCCAAACGCTGCCATTGTGAAATGTATTGGTGTACTGCACTGAACGCTAACTGGTACCCTACAACATTTGATATGCCGAATTATGCATCTACGCATGCATGTCCTCTTTAGGTCCTTTTAAGACACTTTGCTGTGCTCATTGGTCAAACGGCGTTATCACCACATTTACTGAATGTCAAGGAATGGTACTTCTACTAAGTGTATTAAAATATTAAAGACTAAACGTTCATAAAATATATACTTCGAATCATTTAACACCATTGATGGACCCCACAAAGAATATTATAGCGTTTAAAAGCAGTATTTGGAGGTGCATGCAATTCTCTGCAGGCAGGCAAAACTCGGCATAACACCGGCGTTATGAGGCGCGTTGGACCTTTTCGCCGGATGGTTGGCGATTGAACACCGTTGCCAGGAAACCGCAGTCCGGTGGTGGAACAATGTTCTTTTGTATAAATTATATTTTATTTTAATCTAAATTATAAAACACAAATACAAAACTATGGTAAGTCATATACAGAAAGGGTCACACGGTATGATGAACTTCAACATTCAGTAGGTTATATAGCAATAAAACAAAGGACAGTATAATTTACATTGTATACATTGATTTTCCCCTCTAAACCAGATACAGGTGGTGGAATAGGTATTGAGATCCTTTATCAATCCTTTATTTTTACGCTGTAAAAATACTCCATTACCAAGAAAAAGTACATTCAGATTTTTACTGAAGTAAACATTCAGACCTATTACCATCAAAATGTTTAAGGTAATAAAAGTAAATGCAGCACAATGGTCTATTATATTTCACTACTGACCTTGTATAAATTTTTTAACGTTGTAGTGGGTTGAGATGCAGAGTTTATCTGCTATATATAGTTCCATCAACAACAATAGATCATATTTTATATGTTCATGTTTTAATGTAGAAGCTTTATCTGCAAAATAAATAAAGTCAGATAAATGTAGTTAAGTAAAAAGCTAAATTCCCTTTAAAAATATGTGAAGTAGAAGTATCTCAACTTGTATAAACCTACTGTATTACTTCACATCATTGACGACAGCTTATAAACCCGGACAATTTGAATTGTTTAAACCCCTCAACATTTTCCATTGCTAACATTAGCATTTCAAATGTAAAATCAGCAGGCGCCTGAGTGTGGGCTGTTATTTCTGCTGCGTGTTTCTTGTATTGTTTACGGTAACGCAGCGCGCACACGACTGGTTGCTGAAGTATCTGTAACACTTTACGACACTGTTGACAACTGAGGCGTTTGTTGTGTTCAGTGCTGTTGGTGGATCTGTTTTTTTCAGTTATGATTTAGTTTTCTCTGAAAGCTGTCATCAAATGAGTGTTTTTGATTTATTTCGCGGCTTCTTCGGTGTACCTGGAGGCCATTATCGTGGCCGACGGTAAGTTTATGGAGTAAAAGTCAAGTAACGTTACGCAGCTGTCACTCAGCTAAGCTAACAGAGGTTCGCTAATTTGGTAACCTTGATACATTGCACGCTGTTTGTTACCAGTTAGGTAATGAAAACAGCTTTAGCGACAAGATTAGTGTCAGGATGACCACAGGGGTCCCTCGGCTAATATGGTTGCTGTTTTATTTTGGGTAAGAGTGACCTCAGGATTAATACGATTGAGTACTTTTAGATCTATTAACGTAACTGTTAAGATAGTTGACATCACGCTAGCAAAACCAAAGCAAGATTTGATCGTGAATGTACACCACGAATACTCAATCAGTTTTACTTACTGTAACGTATCAGGGACCCCTTCTTCGATGCCATGACTCATGATGACGACGATGAAGATGATGATGATGAAGAAGATGGATTCTACTATGATGGGTTCCGGGGAGACCAGCAGGACCCCTTTGACAGTGCCTGGAGGTTTGGCTTCAGCTTAGGTCCCGACGGGATGAGGATCCAGGAGCCTCCGGTGTTTGGCCACGTCTTCAGAGAGATGGAAGAGATCTTCTCCCAGCTGGGTCGCAGAGACGGACAGCCAGAGTCTGGACACTTCGGTATGAAAACTGAGCCATGATCCAGTACGTTACTGGTTTTCTTTGCCCTAGAACATTTTCAGGGCCTTTAAAACTTAATTTTGACACAATGAACTATCTTCACGACAGGACCTCAAGATCAGGTCTTGAAACAGTACACACCTTTCTGAAGACCCTCATCATGTCAGTTGATATTGTGTTTTCGTGGTGCATTTACAGACATAAATGTTCAATTAAATTAGAGTTAGCACAAACCAGTTTACACACAGTCATCCTGGAGGCCCCCCTGGTCAGTTGCCTGCTTTGCCCTGTCGGTAATCTAGCTTTAAGATTACCAACAGGTCATCAGTCAGTCAATTGCAATTCTCAGTTGTAGATTCAGTCGGTGTGTTCATTATGTTCTAGGTGTTCCCAGTATCATGCCACCACCTCAGGACAGAGCAGAGAGGGGTGGAGGTGGTTCCAGTGGGAACCCCCTGAGAGACTTTATGCTCAAATCTGATGATGACAATCCACAAGGACTCCAAGCAGGGCCATCAACAGAGCCCAGATATGATGGCCGCCCTTTCTATGAGTCACCAGAATTTCCCAGTTCGCCATTCAGCAGCTGGAAGCCTTTTTCGAAGGTGAATAAGATATTCGCTCCTACTTCCAGACTTTATTTCTATGGTAACATGGAGTGTTACTGTTTACTGTTATGTATTAACTTTCTTATGGTTTAACAGTTTAATGATATTTGGAAGAGGGGGCCACAGAAAGCTCCTGAGGAGGAGCGCAAAGAAGACAGAGGTAGGTGATGTTTTTAATCCTTCAGTAAAGTTTTGTTTTGTGTGTTCCAACTGATTTCCCCATTCCTGTCCCATTCTAGATCTGGACTCTGCAGTCTCCTCTGGGGGCCTGGATCAGATTCTGACACCACCTGCTGGTCAGGCACCGAACCAACCCAGGACGCGATCATTCTTCCAGTCAGTCATGGTCAGCAAGGTGGTGAAACCTGATGGGGTGAGAGAAACAGTTTATCTTGATTTTAGTATAAATCATTTATTCATATACTCCCACAGCAGATCTTTAGGGTTCTGAGAAATGATTCTTATATAATATCATATATAAATCAATCTTACACCAGAAAATAAATTAACTATTTATACATTGTGAATTTATGTTTTTTTATTTCTGGTTTGATGTCTGTCAGACAGTAGAGGAGAGGCGAACAGTCAGAGACAGCCAAGGCAATGAAGAGACCACAGTGACTCGCTCAGGAGGCCCTGGTAGCCCGGAGGGACCAGACCATCACACTGGACGTGTCAGACCAGGTCAGTCCATTTATGTTGTAAAGGTATTTTGATCTATCTAATTGCTTGATCTAGTTCTTATGCATTCTTGTGTTTATTTCAGGTGGTCAAAATCCATTTTCGGACATGCGGGACGATGATTCAGTATTCTCCAAGTTCTTTGGAGGGTTTAAATAAAATGCAAAAGTATATTCTCTCGACTGGTTGACTGTAGCTTTTGTTCCCTGAAAACATTTTAGTGTGAGTGTTTTTCCACAGCTGTGAGTTTGCATATTTGTAGGATCTATGTACAGAACACTTGCATGACCTACAATTGCCAAATGAATGTGCTGGAATAGGGTCTCTTGCCAGATGCTGGGGTTTCCAACTCACAACATAGACTAAAAGCTGCCAATCCCGAAGACTAGCAATTTTCACTTGAGACACATCACTTAAACAATTCACAATTGCATATTTTACTTTTGAATTTTCTTGTAGGATAAGCGTGTGTGTGTGTGTGTGTGTGTGTGATATTTCGAATAAAGAGTCTTAATATACAGTATTTAAACCCTTGTTATTTGCCTGTTGTTTTTGACCACTTTCAACACAACTTCTAAAATAAGAAATGGCACCGTCTTAAAAGTAAGTGAATTCACTATAAATAAAAACGCGTGGTTCAATTCAATACATTTAGAGGTTTTGTTGCTACAGCCTTACTACATCTGGGCTTAGCTTATGATGGCTAATGTTGGCAGATTTTAATGTGAGCAAACTTTAGATTTACAGAGTCAGTTTGCCGAATTAGCAAAAGTTAGTGTCACTTTTAACATGATTTGTTTACAGTTATTATTTTACCAATTTTAAGTTAATGCTTTGGTTTCAGGAACTAGCAAACACTACAGTCTTTAGTTTATTTGACAAGATAAAACACATGTATGATCAATGACTTGCATGTGAAGAAATTGTCAAGGATAACGCGAAAAAGTCTAGGACTTATTTCCATTGTGGTCCTTGATGTTCCATCGGCCATAGTAAGGTGATATCAGGTGTCAGAAGTACGGGGCACATATAATTACAATACATACTTTACAATGGCTCCTTGAACTGGCAGCCATTGTAACTCTTAAAATTGTTCTGATTACACAATGTGAAATACATAATCATCTACTATTTAAATGATGTCAGACAATTTAAATTCACATTAATATGTAATAGAATGAGCCTATAGCATGGGACAAATAGGAAGCAAGTCCCAAACTATTTTGTGTGTATGCATAAATGCTTAACCTTGGATTGCAGATCCTGCCTTTGTACTACTACTACTTAACTCACATAGTCCAAAAAGGGCAACCTCATCCAGTTTCATTTATATTAATTTTATTTTTGTAGCCTTGTTTTGCGGGGGACGATGTAACTTAATGATCGGGTTGGGGTGTGTGTCTGTCCTCCACCTGTAGCTTTTATCCTTCCCAGTAACATTCAGTGATTTTTAGGGGAATACAAATATGTATATATGTACACTCAGACAAATGCTATTGCAGTGTATGATTGTGGTCCATTGTGCCAGGATAGTTTGTGCAGCAAGGACAGCTTTGTCAGCTTGTGGTATAGAGAAGTGAAACAAAGTGGTTTGGACAGAGCAGCTGTAAAATGTGTAGTGAATAAACTGGAGGACATTGAACAAGTTGGTTTAGGTTGAATTTAAAATACAATGTTTACTACTGTCATATTGCCGTACTGGAAGGAATTTCAAACATTTGATGCCAGTGAACTGAAGTGAAACGTGACGTAATCAAAACACTGACAGTAAACGCAGCTTGTCCAGTTCTTGTCATTTCTTTGCACGCCATCCTGTTTCTACCAAGCTGATAACAGTCTTGATCTCTCCAAATTGGAATTGAGCCTTATCAGCCGCTCATCACTTAAGCTCTTTTATCAAAGCGTGACTGCATTCCACATCTTCTCATCTCCCCATCTTATTTAGCTTATTCCCCTTCTTCTTCTTCTCCTCCCCTGCCCTTTCTCCTTTCTCAGTCCTTCTCAAAAATGGACCTCTATATAAGGCGTAGAGGCATAGGTCAGGTTTGTGGTTTCCACATGCTTTATCTGAGATGTCTTTGATACGGAAAGAACATTAACTGATGTTCAGTTTAAAAGAAAAAGAAACATACTTTCATGCGTGAGATATCAAAAGGTCTCATTGCTCTTGTCGTGTTCTGTCAAATCTGCCCTCATGAGGGGAGTGGAGATAATTGTAGTTTTGAGTTTTGCTTGGAAAAATAGGCAGTACACTCTACTTCAGAAAGAACCGTCCTTGCACAACATTTTCATAAACATAGGATTTATACAACGTAGTATCCTCACGCAGCTACTAACATATTTGTGCTCCTGTGTGGACAGTAAAGCATTAAAAGTCATCAATTCCCATTAATAAGAATTTCCAATCTTTTACAGGTTCAGCTTTTTCAAGGTGAACCTTCCCTGCTATCTAAACTCATTTCCATCCTCTGCCCTAACTTTACAACTTAATCAATGATCTGAGGCCTTATAGAACTAGATAATGATATCTAGAAATCATTGTAGATAACAGAGTCCTGACACTGGCTGAACCAAAGAAAGGTGCCTTTAATTTTCAAATGTTGTATGAATGTAGCAGAAAACAGGGCTTCCAAAAGGCCAACATAGAAACAACATAAAGAACATTTGAGCAACACACCTGTTTTTAAGCCTGTAATGTGCAGAAATCACCAGAAAGTGCAATCAGAAATCAAGATGAGCATGAGGTGGGCTTAGATTTACATGCAGATAAATAATAAAAAAAGATTTATTAGCTAATTCCAGTGTTAGCATTTTTCTTGCTGCCTTATGTAGTCCAATTGTCCCCACTTTATTTGACATAGATACCTGTATCCATGTCAAATAAAGTGTTCAGCTTCAGCTGTCAGTGGATTTTTGACAACCCTTGATTGTCATTAATATGTGCCCATTTCTGTATGAGCACTTTTGTTGATTTATGTGCATTCAGCTGTTTCTTGGTACCTGTTACTAGGTTAAAAAAAAAAGAAGCTTGTGAATGATCAGAAAGTGCAATGCAGGATGCATGTGTAGCATATTCATGCTGTTTCCCCTTCATTCACATTCTTCCTCTGGTTTTCCCTTTTAGAAGGTAGGTTATTTTCACAGGTAACCAATAGGTTTGTAAGACTTTTAAACTTATTCTACAGAGGCTTTTAGACCATAAAGTAAAGATGAAATATCTTTTATGAGACTTGATTATACTATACCTATACATGTCATCTCCTATCCTGTGTCATTAATTTGATGGTCATACCTGAACTGAACTAAATTTGCAGTGATTTACTCCACTGTTGGCACCAGTTGAAAGGTCCAACAAAATTGAGGGTGTATAAAATAGATACACTTGATATGAATCACATGAATAATAAACATAAAAAATCTACAGTATAAATGTTGTTGCTTATCTGTTTCATGTCTGTGAGATAAGTAATGACTCTTATCACAACTTACAGTGATAAAGGTCCAAGCATGTGGTTCTAGCCAAAGAGAGATCCAGCTCTCATCATCTTTATTATTCTGTGGTAATTTATACTGCTGCAATGCTGCACATAAAACATGTTGTTACAAATAAACAAAATACGTTGTGAATCAAGAAAGATATATACTTTGCTTGACCTTTTGTAAACACTTTAGGTTTCAGATGAAGAATGCTGAGCTGTTAGGGTCAGATCCTGTTTGCATAAAAAAAAATAAAATAAAAATAAATGTATTAACCAATCAAATGATAAGAACAATCAGAGCCAATTCCGATCAGGTGAGACCACAGCAAACTGACCGAAGGGTGCAAGGCCAGTTCTGTGTAGAGTAGAGGAGAGTATTTTTCATCCAGTAAGGATCAGGATATCTTACAAAATAAACTATTTTCCTCTCATGCATGCTCACAAACACCACCACCACCTCCGGCCGATACCATAAAGTGTGTGACGTATCCTACAGCTCAAGTATGAAAGGGCAAACTCTGCTCAGTGAGGCAGGCAGACTGTGCAGTGCTGTGCGGGTCAGATCCACCTGATGACAGCGTCCCCGCTCTGAATGTTCACCTGTGGCTGGATGGTGCAGAGGATGGAGAGGCTGTTGAGAAAGTGTCAGATCAGAAACAAACTGGTCAGGGAGTGCATGGCTGAATGCCTCGGAGTCTACGTGCTGATTGTGAGTATTTAAAAAAAATCTAAACTTAAGTTAGTTGCATGAGACACCCTTAAGGTATATTTAAGAGAGGTTGACCATGTGTATCTTTTTATAATGCATGCACTTTTTACGTAAAGCAAAAGATTCACTCTTTAAGTCAATGCCAATACTTAGTGTGCTTCAGTATTTAAAATGCCTCAACAAAAACCTGCTGAGGCAAAGTCATAGGCTAGTAGATGCAGCCTTTTGCATTTAATTGAAGCTGTAAAATGCAGAAAATGTGATTTTCTTCTCTACCAGTTCATCCTGTAAGTCTCACTTGTAAAGTAAACTCAACATCAACAGAGTTTTTTCCTAAAACAATTACATGCTCACTCTCCATGTTTTGTTAGTTAATCCACACAATGGATAACCAAGGACTTTGGCCTGAAAGAAAGAGAGATACAGAATGAAAGAGGGGGTGCCAGTGAGCGAGTGAGTGAGTGGGAGGATGGGTAAGGTGACGGGTGGAGGATAAAGAATGAGGGTGGCGAAAATGTTGCTCATCAGTGATTTGTAATAAGCAGGGATGTTTGTTCGTCTCTGCTGGCTGGAAAGTGAGCATTTACAACACAAATCATAAAGCAAGTTCCTTAGCAATCAAGTTCATAAAAAAGGAGATTATATTCCAAGGCAACGCTGTTTGTTTTGCTTATCTGTGCCAGAACTTTTCTGTGTAAAGCGTAAATAAGTCATGCAGATTGTTTTTCAGGTTGGTTTATGTTTCTTCCACTAATACGGCTCTTCATCTCATGTAATTGCAGCTGTTTGGATGTGGCTCCGTTGCCCAGGTGACCACAACGCAAGATAAGAAGGGGCAGTACCTGTCAATCAATCTGGGATTTGCTCTGGGAGTGACATTTGGGGTCTTTGTATCTCGTGGAGTCTCAGGTGAGGCATTGTATGAAAGTTATTTGAGAGGTGAGGGGGGCTAAACCTTCTGTTTCTACTGTAAAAAAAAAAAAATCCATAAAGACTAACTCCACTAATTTAACACAACAACGTCTGTTTACAGGGGTTGTGGAGTTACTGCAAATGTGAAATATGTAAAAAGCCTTTTGTGGCTCCAGAGGGAGCTGTGTGAAGTGTGATAAACTACACTGCTCAAAAAAAAAAGAAAAAAGGGGAACACTAAAATAACACATCCTAGATCTGAATGAATGAAATAATCTCATTAAATACTCCTTTCTTTACATAGTTGAATGTGCTGACAACAAAATCACAAAAATTATCAATGGAAATCAAATTTATCAACCCATGGAGGTCTGGATTTGGAGTCACACTCAAAATCAAAGTGGAAAACCACACTACAGGCCAATCAACTTTGATGTAATGTCCTTAAAACAAGTCAAAATGAGGCTCAGTAGTGTGTGTGGCCTCCACATGCCTGTATGACCTCCCTACAACACCTGGGCATGCTCCTGATGAGGTGGCGGATGGTCCCCTGAGGGATCTCCTCCCAGACCTGGACTAAAGCATCTGCCAACTCCTGGACAGTCTGTGGTGCAACGTGGCGTTGGTGGATGGAGCGAGACATGATGTCCCAGATGTGCTCAATTGGTTTCAGGTCTGTGGAACGGGCGGGCCAGTCCTTAGCATCAATGCCTTCCTCTTGCAGGAACTGCTCACACACTCCAGCCATATGAGGTCTAGCATTGTCTTGCATTAGGAGGAACCCAGGGCCAACCACACCAGCATATGGTCTCACAAGGGGTCTGAGGATCTCATCTCGGTACCTAATGGCCCACCGCCAAACTGGTCATGCTGGAGGATGTTGCAGGCAGCAGAACGTTCTCCACGGCGTCTCCAGACTCTCTCACGTCTGTCACATGTGCTCAGTGTGAACCATCCTGGATGAGCTGCACTACCTGAGCCACTTGTGTGGGTTGTAGACTCCGTCTCAAGCTACCACTAGAGTGAAAGCACCGCCAGCATTCAAAAGTGACCAAAACATCAGCCAGGAAGCATAGGAACTGAGAAGTGGTCTGTGGTCACCACCTGCAGAACCACTCCTTTATTGGGGGTGTCTTGCTAATTGCCTATAATTTCCACCTGTTGTCTATTCCATTTGCACAACAGCATGTGAAATTGATTGTCAATCATTGTTGCTTCCTAAGTGGCCAGTTTGATTTCACAGGAGTGTGATTGACTTGGAGTTATATTGTGTTGTTTGATTTGATCTTTTTTTAAACTGCACATGGTGAGTCCGACAGTGTTATGAGAGTAATGCTAAACTGATGGAGTACTCCTTTTAAAGGAACTTCCAATGTGTGCCACAAATGTATACATTAAAAATGCATATGGCACTTTTAAGAACTATGGTCTTTTCGATCTATTTATTTAAATATTAACTATACAGCAGGCAGACTAAAATACAAATGTAGGACATTAAAAACTCTTCCAAAATAAGTTAAGATTAACCTGCCTGCAGCCAAAAGGAAAAAAAAGAACAACTCCCTCTTTGTCTGACCCCTTCTTTACCCCTAATAATGTTGTACAACAACAGAAATATGCAGATTGTAGATTATCGGTGTGTTTTCATCCATAAGGCGCCCATCTGAACCCGGCTGTATCTCTGAGCTTGTGCATGTTGGGCAGACACCCCTGGATAAAGCTACCTTTCTACGTCTTCTTTCAAGTGTTTGGAGCATTTCTGGCAGCAGCCACGGTTGGCCTTCAGTACTATGGTAAGTTTTCAGCAATGCTGCAATAAGAAATGTTCTATAGGTTCACAGTTAGAGTTCATATTGGGTTGCCACTTTTTTTCTCATTGTCAACAAATCTCATAAAAAGACCAAGACCAACAGTTTTGCAGTGTCTGTGGCATTCAGCCCCAAGCCCATTCTTTCCTACTCAAGAAAGACAGGTCACAAGTATTGTTTAATTCTCTGAAAAGGCAAAACAATTTCCAAAAGCAGATAGGCACTGTAGTCAGCCTGGACCCTCACCAGTTTGCTTTCAGAACCAATAGACACACAGAGGATGCCATCTCCCCTGCCCTCCACTCAGCCCTCACACACCTTGACAAAAACAACACCTACATCAGAATGATGTGTGTTGATTTCTGCTCAGCGTTCAACACAATCTCCCCCATGAAACTGATCAGCAAACATAGCACTCTGGGCTTGAGTACAACACTCTGCAACTGGATATTGGACTTCCTCACAAGCAGACCCCAGATAATTCAGATTGGCGGTTACCCCCTCCTCTTCATGCTGTACACCCACAACTGTTTTCCCTGACATGGAGAGAGCTCTGTCGGGAAGTTTGTGGACAACACCGCCATCATCGGTCAGATTTTTAACAATGATGAGACTTCATATCAAGAAATCTCACATCTCTAAGAGGCATTAAAAAGTTGTCTTTGAAAAAAATAAAGCTCAAAAACAGCTGTATTTCTTAAGCAAAATTCCTGTTCCAAGTTCTTGTTAACTTTTACAATACAAAACATCACTAACTGGTATGTGCACAGCCCAGAACCGGAGGGCTCTGCAGCGGGTGAATAAAAACGCTCAGAAGATCATTGGTACCCATCTACAGAGCATCAGTGATATCGGTGAGGTGAGGTGCCAAATGACAGTACCCACCCTAGCCACAGCCTGTTCACCCTGCTGCCATCTGGCAAGAAATATAGAAGTATCTGCTGTCATACCACCAGACTTCAAATAGTTTTATTTCTATGACTCATTATATTCAACCATCCACTGTTTATCATTTGTGATTAAAAAAATATATATTTGTTGACAACAAAAATATAGAATATCACTAGAAATGTGCTTTAATGTTAGTGTAGTATGAATAGATGTCTGGTAATAGTACACGTTTGTATGTGTTTTTGCATGTGTGATGAGATGCCATCTGGGCGTACAGCGGAGGTGAGCTGACAGTGACGGGTCCCACTGCCACAGCAGGCATATTCTCCACCTACCCAGCTGACTACCTCAGTGTGTGGGGAGGGGTTGTTGACCAGGTCAGATACAGTCACTCCCATCAGGGTGAAGTAATTTTAAATGTCACTTGAATCTGTCGAGCCAAAACACCAAAACTCAGTCAGGTTTGAACATCATAAGTTATGTACTGGAACTTGATCTCACCACTATGCACACCAGTTCCAGTGTGTGAATACTTTGGCCCTGTTATTCAGGTGATAGGCACAGCTGCGCTGCTGCTGTGTGTCCTGGCTCTCGGGGACCAGAAAAACAGCTCCCTCCCTGACGGTTTTCAGCCTGTACTGGTAGGCGCAGCAGTGCTGGTTATTGGCATCTCAATGGGCTCCAACAGCGGCTATGCCCTCAACCCGGCAAGGGATTTTGGGCCTAGATTGTTCACGTACATCGCCGGCTGGGGAGTGGATGTTTTCAAGTTAGTCGTTTTTGGTATTACAAGTATTTAAACAATGGAATTATCACTTTGTTGCCCCACGTTAATGGATTTATTGATTGATATCAAGTCTGATTGTTATATCACCCTATTATTTTGCAGGGCTGGAGGTGGTTGGTGGTGGGTACCAATAGTGGCTCCATGTGTCGGGGCAATGCTGGGAACATTGATGTACGAGCTGATGATTGAAGTCCACCATCCTCCCTGGCAGGAGGCTACAGAGGGGAGAACAGGGCTCGAGCTGCAGGACCTGGAGGCAGACTGTGAAAAACCCAGTACTAAAATGTAGTGGTAAAATGACATACACACACAGTGAGGAAAATAAGTATTTGAACACCCTGCTATTTTGCATGTTCTCCCACTTAGAAATCATGGAGGGGTCTGAAATTGTCATCGTAGGTGCATGTCCACTGTCAGAGACATAATCTAAAAAAAAAATTAAATAAAATCCAGAAATCACAATGTATGATTTTTTAACTATTTATTTGTATGATACAGCTGCAAATAAGTATTTGAACACCTGAGAAAATCAATGTTAATATTTGGTACAGTAGCCTCAAACGTTTCCTGTAGTTTTTCACCAGGTTTGCACACACTGCAGGAGGGATTTTGGCCCACTCCTCCACATGGATCTTCTCTAGATCAGTCAGGTTTCTGGGCTGTCGCTGAGAAACATGGAGTTTGAGCTCCCTCCAAAGATTCTCTATTGGGTTTAGGTCTGGAGACTGGCTAGGCCACGCCAGAACCTTGACATGCTTCTTACAGAGCCACTCCTTGGTTATCCTGGCTGTGTGCTTCGGGTCATTGTCATGTTGGAAGACCCGGCCTCGACCCATCTTCAACCCTCCTTCCCTCTAACTGAGGGAAGGAGGTTGTTCCCCCAAATCTCGCAATACATGTCTCCGGTCATCCTCTCCTTAATACAGTGCAGTCGCCCTGTCCCATGTGCAGAAACACACCCCCAAAGCATGATGCTTTAGGATAATAAATGGAGTGGAAGTGGACATTTTGAAGGCAGACTAACAGGTCTTTGAGAGTCAGAATTCTAGCTGATAGACAGGTGTTCAAATACAGCAAAAATTATTTGCAGCTGTATCATAGTTAAAAAATCATACATTGTGATTTCTGGATATTTTTTTTTAGATTATGTCTCTGACAGTGGACATGCACCTACGATGACAATTTCAGACCCCTCCATGATTTCTAAGTGGGAGAACTTGCAAAATAGCAGGGTGTTCAAATACTTATTTTCCTCACTGTATATAGTAAATACTTTTTATGGTGTGATCCCCACTGAAGCTCTCTTTGTAAATGTCTGTGATTGATTTTTTGGAACACAGATTGGTTCTGATGGCAGAAAACTAGTTTTGTAGCGTAATTACACATACAACTAAATCTAGTTTCCATCAATTATTGGATGGATTGCTTTGAAATAATGTTCATGGTCCCTAAGAGCATGAATCCTACTGACTGTGGTGACCTCTAACTTTTCATGTAGTGTCACAGGTCAATGTTTTCATCTTATCCTATAAAATTAACCATTTACAAGATGGATTGGCATTAAATGTTGTACAGACATTCCCCAAAGGATGAATCCTAATGATTTTTGTGGTCCACTCCAGCACCTTTAGGATAAATTATTTTGACTTTGGTGTTCTCCTGACTTTTCATCTAGCTCCATCATCTGGTAAATACATTCAAAACGAATGACATTCCCATCAGGCTCAGCTGTACTTTATGAATAGTGGTAAATAGCAAATTTTAAAAACTAAACTAAGAATGAACATTGTATAAACATGCCTACTAAACGTCGGCATCTTAACATTTAGCTCAAAATACCACTGTGTTTAAAGTCTTATTCATCAAGAATATGAATTATAGGTGAATGCAATATGAACTGTTTTCCAATTTGTAAACAAATAAGCTGCAAACACTGCTCCAAATGCAATACTAACTCTGCAGATGAACCTGCTGCACAAGTCAATCGTCTCTTTTACACATTTATTTCGAAACAGCACAAAAGTGTATGGCATTTCAGCAAGCAGACCACAACCATGGAAAAGAAAATGACATGAAATTTCCACTATTGAGCTATATAAATATGATAGTGACATATAAAAGATACAAACAAAAGAACATCCACTCATAGGCCTCCATCCTGTGACCATGAATTTTGAAAACATACAAAAGTAATGTGAGTACGGCAAGCACTGATTCTGTAGATAAAAAAAGAACTGTCTCAAAGAGATAAACATTTGTATTCATACACATTAAGACAACACAACCCCCACGCTCTCCCTATGCTTTGTAATTACAATGTATAGCTACCTCTGGGGGGGAATTCTTTTTTTCTGTTAAACTTCAAATTGTTTGGAGAAAAAAAAGGGAACAGTACAAGTACAAATACTATACGTATTCACATTATCATAGCAAGTTACTAAAACCAGAACGCTTTCTTTTAGTGTAATATGTATTTACATGGCAAAACTCGTACACTTAGACTACTGGCAGGAAGCCTTACCTCTCTTCTTCTAGCTTAACGATTAACAACATCACATTATTCACACTACACAGGTTACAGACCTTCAGTAACCTCATCTCCCAACGACATGCTTTCAGAGATTCTCATGTCTCTGTTGCAGGCCAGTCGCACCATGTCAAGTAAGGTTTGACTTACACAAATACCAACAGCAGTGATGTGTTTTTGTATAAATAAATATAGCAACTTAAAAGTCAGTGTCAAATTCTTCAAACACCTCCCTTTCATGCTTCAGATGTCTTGGTATCAGGTTTACCAGCCTCGAGAGCTGGTAAAACTGATCTCAACATACAACTGAATGCCGGGGAAAATGAGCATGGACTTGAAGCAAACAAGTATGAATACCATGAACAATATAAAGTACAAAACTATCTGCACTACAGCTGTCAGGAGTACAGTGGGAGGTGCATGTATTTAAGTGTTAAAAACAGGCAGGTGGCTACAGTCAGTGCAGAGTGAGTGATTGGAATGAAAGGACTAGACATATTAGACACGATATGGCTGATATATAAATGCTTTACTTGGGTAGGGGGCTTTTTCAGAGAGCCTTTCCACTTAAGAGTCCATCACAGGTGTGTTCAGTCAAGTGACCAGTAACATGATCAAACATGCAATTACAATTGCACAGAAGAGGTGCCATAGATAGAGTTAAACTGTTTATGGTGGCTAAAAAAACTGCACAAGAAGCAGCTCTGTTTCATCTCGGGATCAACATTCATATCCTACAGCTTCTCTCCTCTGCCATGACCCTTGACTCCTCACTGTAGACGATCTGTTGGTCTCAAAGGACCCGCCCCCCACCCTCTACTGGGGCTTGTCTGTCTTGTGTGCGGTGAGGAAGGCCATGCCGTGGGTCCTGAAGTGGGTGTTGAGGTCCGAGGCCTTGTCGAAACGCCGGCCGCACACCTTGCAGCTCATATTCCCCTCTCCGTCCTCGCCCTGCGCCTGAGGGGAGGCAGCGGGCGAGCCGTCAAGAGAGCCATGAGCGCGTGGGGTGCTGCGGTCTGCGTCGCTCTGGGTGTCCCGTACGCGGTGAGTAATGAAGCGGTGCCTGCTGAGAGAGCCGGCCGACGCGAAGCAGACGCCACACTGCAGGCACTGGAAGGAGGCGGTGTCTGCCCGATGCTGGGGGATGTGGCGCTGAAACTCCGCCCCGTCCTCGGTGGAGAAGCCACAGGGGACGCAACGGAAAATGTTGTCTTCCTCCTCCAGCTCGTTGGGTGCCAATGATGTCGACGCAATGGACGCCCTTGTTCTTTTTGCAGGACCTGCACCTTCCTCACCATCCTCGGTGGCGTTTTCTTCCTCGTCTCTTGCCCTGCCTCCAGGAGGTCCGCCCTCACCGTCTTGTTCTGAGGAGCTACCTGGTCCCTCTCCCCCTGTGGCTGCACGCTTCCTTGTCATGGGGGGACCCTGAGGACACAAAAAAGGAGACATACTTTATGTATACAGTATGCTGTTTCTGCAGTTAAAATGAACAAATCTACAGTTTTGTAATAACAGAATCAAACATTTTAAAGGTTAAGTGTGTACGTTTCAGTGACATCTAGTGGTGAGGGTTGCAAATTGTAAAAAACTCCTCACTCAACTCTGAACTTCCATGCTGTACTGTTTTATTTCCAATAATAATCAGCTGATTGTCTCACAAAAGGTAACCGGCACATTTATGCCCACGTAGCAAAACCAAGACACAGTTAAAAATTACAATCCAAATAACAATTTTTTCTAGGGCAGTAAAAGTTTAGCTGGCTTATCTGAGCCTCCAGCTGTAACGTTAGGTTACGGTTTCATTGCCAATTAATCAGCTGATTGTATCACGAACGTAACAGACACATTTATGTCCACGCAAAGCCAAAGCCTGGAGAAACTTACGTTGTAATGTTACATTACAATCCAACTACATAGTTTTTCTACAAAGGAAGTAAAGGTTTAGCCAGCTGATGGGAGCTTCTATGCTGTAATTTACGTTACCATTTTATAGCGAATTAATCAGGTGATTGTCTCACGAATGTAAGCGGCACATTTCTGTCGACAGCAAAGCCAAAACACACACTGAAGAATAATGTTAATGAAATTACAATCCAACTATATATTTCACAACACTCTGAGAGGGGAAACACGTCACCTCTCTTGGTGATTATGGCCAGCTTCTAGCTAAAGCTATCAAACAACAGCTTTCATTTGCATCGCTAAAGCATTTTGCATCACTAACTTAATTACCTGTCCAGCAGAAAACATCAGAGCCTTCCATCTGGGAATATCCACAATGATTATATGCTTTATTTCTGCTGTTATCTGTCTGCATCTGTCCCCACATGTCTGGCTTCATCATGTTTTTACTTCTTTGATGACGAAGATCTATAGCGCTGTTTGTCCGTTTTCGGCTACAATACAAACAGGACGACCTCCATGGAACGGGGGACCCGCGGTTATGTAGATAGAAATGACTCATTCTAAGCTAATAAAAACATAACTGTTCATTAAGGTCTTTACACACCACTGAAAACATAGTTATGTATCTTATATTGTATTTTCCAGTGTGGACACTACAAAACCTGTTTTTGAATGTCTATGTATAGTTGGTACACAGATTTATACTACGCTGTCTTGACTCACCTGTCCATCTGAGGTTCTGTGATGGAGCCGAATATGCTTGTCCAGTAAGAACCGACTGCCAAAGGTTCGTTTGCCTTCTGTGCAATATCTGAAAAATGATTAAGCAGGGTTAAATCACTTCATCCAGCACTGACATTGCGTCCCATTATAAAAATTCTACACCTAAGTAATATATCCTAATCAATACTGCATTTTTAAGACCTATACTGATATCAATATAAATTTGATAACCTATCAGCCAACAGTATTTGTTTTAACAAACACTTAACTTAAACACCTATTTTCATAGGAATCCCTTACATTTGTTCTTCTAAAGAATTACGAGCAAGATACATACTGCACTTTTCAGTGCTCACGTTTTCTGAATGACCTCAACCTAGTTCAGCATTTCTCTACTAAAATTTCCTGTTACTTATTGGTCAACAATATACACGATACAGGTGTATCTGCAATAAGCTAATATGGCCAATCTGTCAGTCTACCTCTACTGATTAACATACCTAAATTGAAAAAGAGAAAACATTTAAAATCATAGTTGAACTACAAAACATGTATCTGATGAAAGTTCAAGTGACTCACTGGCAATGGAAGACTCTCTTGTTGCCCTCATGAATGACGCGCTCGTGGCGTCTCAGGCTGGATGACGTGCTGAACGTGCCTCCACAAATACGACATGGGAACTTTGGAGTTGGCAACACACACAGAGAGGCAGAGGGAGATAAGATAAAAAGATAGTAAGTCTCAGTCAAATGTGCTACAGTACGGACAGGAAATTAACAACAGCCCCCATCCAAGCATGGGTGGTTCTTTTTCTGCTTTACCATCCACGATCAGAGGTCATTTTAAAACAGCTCAAATTTGGTGCACTGAAACCGATTCAGCACAATCAGATTAAAGTAAATAATAGTAGTGTGACACACCTTGCCGTGCTCCATCTTCACATGACTCAGATAGTCTTCGTTGTCAGTGAAGGTGGTCTGACACTGGGGGCAGGTCCACTCAGTCTGGGCAGGGGGCTGAGTGCTGCCCCCCGCAGAGGCCGGCTGATTCCCCGGAGCCTCGTAGTCCTCGTCTGCGTCGTCATCGTCGTCGTCTTCCTCTTCGTCTTCCTCCTCTTCCTGTTCCCGCCCCCAGTCTTCTCCATCAGAATTATCAGGTTTTCCAGAGGATTTTGATTTGACGCCAGAGGGGCCAGATGCGTTTGCCGGGGCTGAAGCAGGGTTGGACGCATCCGACTGAGGCTCTGTCTGTTTGGCTGATTGTCCTCTGTGAGCGGTCTGAGGGGGAAGACAGTAAAGTGTGAGAGAGCACAAAGATATACAGAGTATTTATAATTCATTCACTTACCTTTAAAAATATCAACAACTCCTACTACTACTGCAACTGGCACACAAAAAGATAATCTGACTCACAAATAATTCCCATTACTAAAGTAATTACTGTACTTGGTATAGAACTTAAGACAAGGTCACCGGAGAGGAACCTTGCTAAGGCCGATCCAAGAAATTGCTGTATGCCTTTGTTGACACCACATTCACTGTAGAAAGCAATGAATGGGCAACACATAAAAGGCAAAAAGGCTAATTCATGATTTGCAGTGACAATATGTTGCATCTATTCAACTTCTAAATTCTATGATCTCTGAATGTTTACTCATCACACCTTAATATGCTCCATCATGGATCCTTTCTGGGCGTAGAGCTTGGTGCAGTCAGGACACTTGAACACATGCACTTTTTGCTTGGCTAAATGAGTGTCAAAGTGCATGTAGAGCAAGGGTTTTTGAGTAAAAACCGTATCACACATCACACACTTGTAGATCATTCTGCAAAAGGAGAAAAAACATATTTTAGAGGGTCTATTTGCAAAACTTGACTACACTTTTCAAACATCCTCTGAGGAAACTTCTCTACACGTGGGTTGTAAATATTACACATATGTTTTGGTAGTAGCAGAACACGTACTTGGCCTGCCCTCCAGTGAGCGTTGGGTGCTGGGTGCTAATGTGGCTCTGGGCGCTTGGGGAAGACTTGAAGGCCATGGGGCAGCTGGGGCACTTGTGGAAGACCTCGCAGTGAGCAGTCTGAATGTGGGACTTGATGGAGTTCAACCCTCCGAACACGACCTGGCAGCTCGAGCACCTTGACAAAGACCATGGTACATGCTATGATGTACTCATATACAGACACATTTTTATACAACTGAATTTTGACTTGATATTCAGTGATCACTCCTTCTCAGATCTGTCTTGGATGTGCAGATTAAGACGAATTCAGACTCAAATTACATCAGTTGACAGGAAGTGATTTGTCACCTAAAAACAATACTGGTCTATCTGAAATAAATAATGGTCTTTCTTGTTGGGGCATCAACTCAAGGCATAGACATCACTTACTATAACTATGTTATAGGATCATTTAGCAATTATTATAAAAATATGGGTTATGATGGCTGGTCTTAATGCTGGTTTTGGGAAGCGTCTCCACACCTGTATCCAATGCGCCTGGCAAAGTGCAGACAGGCCTCCTCCAGGTGGGTCTGGAAGCTGGCCTGCCGGGCGATGCCACCACACTCAGGACAGACATGAGGCGCTCTGTGTTTATGGATCCTCTGGTGGGCGGACACGGCACACGAGTTAGGCAGCATCATGGGAGGCGTGCATTGCGTGCATGTCTGAAACAGAAGTAAAGGAAAATCATTCAAAACAATCGACGACCACCGGCATTTCATAACTGCAGGTATCCGCAGCACAAAACATAGACTCACTGAGTTGGGAGCAGCTCTGATCTGCTGGAAGTGGGTGACCAGCTCAGCCTTGCCTGAGAATTGTGTTTGACACTCTGGACATTTGAAGTTGTTGTACTGCAGCCCCTCAGCCTTCTTGCAAGGCAGAGGCATCAGTGCCTGGGGGCCCTGAGGTGCACGGCGGACCGTTCGAGGCTGAGCTGCTGCTGGAGACGAAGCATCCTTCATCGGGCTGGAGTTGGCAGAGACAGCGGGGCCCCCTGGTGTGGTAGAAGGAGAGGAGACTGGAGGAGAGGAGGACGAAGAGGAGAGCAGGCCTGGTCAGGCAAAGATGGAAATCAGAAGACACACATGGGACGTGGTCAATGGAGATGAATCACAAACAAATGATGCATGTTTTTTTTCATGAATTATTACCAGACCACCAAGTTTTCTGTGGTTCTCTCATGACTCTATACTAACAGAAATAAAAATGTATGATGTAGAGCTGAAAAAGATTAGTCGATCAACCAAATTGATCTGCAACTAGTTTGATAATCAATCTTGTGTCATTTTTTACGCAGAAATGCCAAAAGTTGTCAGGTTCCAGCTCCTCATTTCAGTTTTTATGCCAGTAAAGTGAATATCTTTGGGTTTTGGACTTGTTCGGCTAAAACAAACGATTTGAAGACGTCACCCGGGGCTCTGGGAAATTGTGATGGATATTGCCATTTCACAAACCAAAAAATGAATTGAGAAAATAATTGTTGGATTGGAGCCCAGATGTAAACAACACAACTGAATGTAAACATCAAACACACTTCATGCAGAACTTATACTAGGCCTGCAATGAATAGTGGATTACGTCATTAGTCTCATTAGTTCCCTACTCATCAAAATGGGAGAACTGAAAACCTAGTTTTATCTCTGACTTCTAATCAAAAAAACAACACATTTTCAGGATGTCGCTCTGGGAAATTGTGATTGTGATGATGTGAGTTTACTGACTTAATGATTAATCGATTAATCATGAAAATAAACGACAGAATAACCGTTAAATAATCGTTAGCTGGAGCCCTACTTACCACCAATGGGTGTTATGTCCTGCTGTCCAATCATCTGCTCTACAGTGACAGGCCTCATGACCAGGTGTGAGCACTGCATGACCAGCCCACGCTCCTTATGCTCCCTGGCATGCAGCAGCAGGCTGCACTTGTTGAAGAAGGCCAGCCTCTTAGCACAGTGGTTGCAGGTCACCTCGATGCGGAGTGATCGTCGGTCGTAGTGTCGAGCCAGGCTGCGCTCCAGGGCGAAAGCATCACCGCACTCCAGGCAGCGATACCCTGTGGCTGGGAGCGGGAGACCCCATTCAGGTGGTGGAGGTGCTGAGAGGTCAGGCTTGTAGCTGGGCAAAAGGTTCTTACTGTTTAGGATTTTGTTGAACGCCTCCACCAGGCTCGACTGACTGCGGGAGATGACGGCACCTGTGCTGTTGACGATGGAGGCAGGTTTGTTTGGCTGGAGGGCGCCGCCTATGATGGTGCTGTTACCTCCGTTAGCTGTCTTATTAGTGGCTGTACGGACGCTGATCCCACCAGCAGCAACAGAGAACTTGGGAGAAGAGGCCACAGCAGGAGTTATAGGCAGGGCCGCAGATTTAGTGATGCTAACGGCAGTGGCAGAAACCTTGCCCTTGTCAGAAGCAGCCATTTTGTTTTGGACCTTCGTGGCGGCAGCTAGCATGACGCTGCTGGCTGCGAGTGTAGACACAGGGAGAGAATTGAGAGCACTTACTTTCTGGGACGTTGTTGTCATGTGACCAGGTGAAGCTTCTAGTTTTTGGGCCTTGTTTCCCAACACCTTACGTTCCCCAGTTTGAGCTTTAGGGTCCAAACCTTTCCCTGCAGCACCACCTTTAGGCGCTACCCTTGTGACAGTTCTGGTGATTCCACCTGTGGAGGTTTTAATTGTTTTTATTCTGACTTTGAGGGGTCGGGATGGAGCTCCAGAAGCAGCCGGTGCCGCAACGTGTGCTTCTGCTCCATCAGTGGAAAGAGGTTTAGGCTTGCCGTCATCTCCATCCAACTTGTCCTCACTTGTTCTCGCATTTTCTCCCTTGTCAGCTTTGCCATCAACGACCTTCTCTGTACCGTTCCCCACTTCCATCTCTTCCTCCTCCTCTTTGGGCTCTCGCAGTTCAGGAGGAGGTGGTGTGGAGGCCAGTGCAGGGCTGGAGCACCTCTTAGCTGCGACTTCAGCAGTTGATTTTGGCATCTCTGGTTCAGGACTCTCTGGTGAGTCTCTCTCCTCTATGACATGTTCTGGATGCCTGTCCTCCACCCGGGGACTCTCTGTTGAGCCAGACTGAGGTGTTGATGAAGTCAGAGATGCCCCTGAAGGGGTGTCCCCAGGTTTAGGGTGAGATGCAGTAGAGGATGTGGGCTGGGTTGAGACAGAGTCAGACTTGTAACGTCGGCTCAGCTGAGTGCAAGTCGGGGATTCTGAGTTCTCTTGGATCACCAGTGGACTTCCTAAATCAGGGTCAGAATCATCCTCATCCATCTGCTGATGCTGAAATCCAGCTGGGCCACCTTTTGAAGCTCCATTAAAAGGCTGAGATGAGTGCAGCGGGTGTGATGAAAGAGCAGAAGGTGGAGTGGGAAGCAGAGGCTTGGAAGGTGGAAAGAAAGGAGAGGCTAGTCCGACAGGCCCGCCTGCAGCCAGGGGAGACGACCCAGCTGACAGAGAGGAAGATGAAGGTAATGACGCTTTGACCCCATCTGCCCTCTCTTGGCCTGTATCCTGCTGCTGCTGGTGCTGCTGCTGTAGAAGCTGCATCTTCCTGGCCCGGCCCACTGGATCTCCAGACCCCTGCGCCACAAGCGGTTTAAGTCTGTTGAAAATGTTCCCGCCCTGCTTGTGAGACTTAGCCGCACCCGCTGCTTCTGAAGACACTTTAGGGGTGTTCAGTGACCACGGCCCTCCATTAGACTGGGCCTGGCTGAGGGGAAGTGGCGTGGAGACACCAGTCACCCCAAAACCATTGTGGTTGAGAGCCACAGATTCAGCCATTCCAGGGGCACACGCGCCTAGTCTGGGGCCCACATCTACCCCTGCGATCACATCGATAGGGTCCTGGTCTGGTTCTCCCTCTCCTCCATCCACAGTCTCAAGGCGTACTTTATTCTTCACAATCACACTAACAATTGAGGTGTCCGCCTGGGGGTCAGAGGGGCTCGGTGGTCTCAAGGATGACCCAACTCCCACCACGTTATCAGACTTTCCCAGAGATGGGCCTGCAGCTCCATGGGGTCCCTCTGCCTCATCTGGGGCAGACTGGATGGCCTCTTTGGCGTCTATGTCAGGAATGTCAAATGCTGCCAACAGGTCATCAAAATCTGGGGTCTTCATGTCCCCCATACCGGGATTGACTCCTGCAAAAACATAAATTCAGACATAGTAGCAGAAAGTAACAAAATACATTAGCATGTCTCTGCCTGTGTTGTTGTCCAAAAACCTTAGCTCTGTCTTGCTAGCATAATGCCTGCAACAAAATCTCAGCATGCAAAATATTAAAATCCTCAATGGTCGCAAAATGTTAAGTTATATATTTTCGAGATAAATTCTGCGTATAAAATTTCATGCATGCACCTTCTTTTTACACAAACACAAGAGCTACAGCAGGACAGCCTCATATCAGGGAAGCTAGCTAAGCAGCAAGAATCCTGCACTAGCATTTACATTAGCCAGCTAGCGCGTTAGCGACGGCGTTTCTGCACCCAAACCCTCCTCTTGTAACAGGTTCAGCACCAATTTTTCTATGAATGGGAAACACTGCTTCAGTTATCTGGTGCACGCCGCGCTCTGCAGCAGTGACCATTTCAGAAACAGTTCATCCGGGAAAGCGTTTTCTAGCAGCGACCTCGGTTATTTTGAGCTAACGATATTCCTTCCCGACTGAGGCTGACTAGCTGGCCGCTGAGCTCCAGCCAAGACAGAGAGGGGTCATTTAGCTAACTAGCTAGCGCTCGCCATTAAAAAGCAACTGGAGCGGTTTGCTGAGGTAGGGTTGGACAGCGGTAACAATCCGGTGATCGTTGGGTCGACGATGTCACAGAAGAGGATGGTTGGGATGGGGATTTTGGTTTAATATTTCATGTATTTTGATTGTTTACCTGGATATGCGATTCCCGACTATCCTAGCTCGTTTTCAGCTGAAAATGCTTTGCTTCCCGTCACATGACCAGAGATATCCTATCAGGCTGTGAAAGAGCTGGAAAAATGTATGGAGGATGCTGCAAACGACACGTATATTTATTTCTACTGTGCAAGACATAAAACATTAATTAATGTCATTATCAGACCGTTTTTAAACACCACGCGAAGTCATTCTAAGTTGGGACAGTGGTTTCTGCATAAAACTGAAGGTTTGCCAGGATCACACATTCCTTCTGTCTTCCCAATCTCCTCACAGCAGTCATCCCTGAGCGGTACTAAGTGCAACAAAAACACCAAAAGGCAAAATATTTACACGCAGTTTTTATTGCAAAAACACAAACACATGACAGGAGTGTGGTTAACTGTTTAGTTTAAGAGCCTGTCATCACAAATTCTTCTCTTCTGATCAACTGTCAGCAATTACGTCATGTAGAGAAAATGCAGGCTAAAGAGCGCAAGATAATTTGAGTAAATCCAGATTATATTAAGATTATATCAACTGATTTAACTGCTCAGTGAGATTTTACACTAAATAGGCATTCAGTACAGAAGGTTCTTCTTGTATATAAAGTAATCCTGCATTAGTATGCAATTGTTTGGGTTTTTCTAGTCGATGTTCGAAGTCTCTTTGTTCCTCATTTCTTCTTCTCTTCATCCTTTTTGCCATCTGGCTTGTTTCCTGTCTGGGAGGCCAGGGAGCCCATGGCATTGCGGATAGCCTCGTTGTTTGGGTCGACACCAGGCAGGTTCTCCAAGACGCTCTGAAGGAACTCTGGGTCTTGCATCACATCATAGTCATCTTCTTCCTGTTCAATTACAATACAGGATACAATCAATTAGGTCTTCATTTAGAGATCATGTTCAGTGGTGATCAAGCTGGTATGACAGATGGGGATCACATTATACACTAATATGTTCCTCTCTGCAGAAATCTGACTTTAAAGATGTGCTATGGCTATTAACTTATCTATAAAAGAATCTCTTATTGTTGCTTTTTTTCCTTTTTACTGTTGATTTCTCACTTTTTTTAATGTTATTTTTTTGTTTCTTTTGGAAAGTCCTTTGTAATCTATGCTTGGCAAGTGCTTTTCTTATGAATTATATTTTAACCACTGCTGCCTGAAGACCAATAACTGAACAGCCTACCAGCCAGCAGTGACTAATATTTACCTTTGGACAATAATTCAACTTACTGTATCATTATTCAGAGTTACGGTCACTTGAATTATTATTATATGTCATCCAACCTGTGCTACCAAGTGATATGACTCAGAACAGCCAGAACATAACAGAGCAACCGCAACATAATGTAAAAATAATTTTCCAGGACGTGCTAATGCCTTGCTTATATACACATATGTACACAGGCCTGTACCTTTGACTTTTTCTTTTAATCAAAGAACCAGATATGTTCTAATGCAATTGCCCATTTGTTTGTACTAATGACTCAAGCAGGATAATTTCATGTCCATTCAGGCTTAGGAAGTGCTGCCAGTCACCTAAAATTTGTCTAGGCAAAAAAACAAAAACAAAAAAACAAACCCAACTTATACTTCCAGTATCTTTGATACCAGAAACATTCCTGCTCCTTTGCAACTGTACTGAGAATAGGGCCAGGTGAGCCCCATTTTACAAATGCATTAGTTTAATTTAAATCATCATATGATGACTCACCTTGGCTGATTCTGCGGTGTCCATGGGAGCTCCTGTGTCCATTTCTCCATACTCTGTTCACAGAACAAGAGAACTTATCATCTTAACAGATATAACAGCAAATATAAGAGGGACCATAAACAGTAAGAGCATACATTTGTATGGTAATCAAATAGAACTCACCTCCTCCGGCAAGAGACATCTGCATGGCATAGGCTATCTGCTCCTCCTCTGTCATGCTGCTGAAGTCAGGAAGCGCTGCTGCACCGCTTTCGGGCTGAGATACTGACATCTTCAGTAAGGCTTCTTCAGATTCTGTGAGGGGAAAAAAATAAATAAAAACCAAAACATCATATTTCTATCTAATCCTAACTATCATTGTAACCGTCTCGTAAGTGAAAGCAACTACTTGTAAATTCAAATTACCGTCTGCACTAGGTGTGGGCACGCCTGCCTCAGCTGCAGAAGCAGCAGCAGCTCTGCGGGCCTCTTCCTCCTGCCTCTGTCGCTGCTCCTCCATGGATACACGCAGGGCCTAATGGATTACACAGTGAGAAATAAAGGCAAACGGCACAGCTTCTAACTCGAAAATGTACTTGCAGCATCACATGGGCTTTCTATGTATGGATAAGTGGTTTCTAACCTTAGATTGGTTCCAAGGAGCTGATACACATGTATTTACAATGTAGACAACATCTTACCCACTGATGTTAGCATAGGCACGTCTTGAATGTCTGAGTTTCCTCCTCTATTTGCACAACTACTGTATATTAGCAGGGAATAAATAATGAGTGCTATGTTTTTGCTTTTTTGTTGCTATCACAACAAAAATTCTTCTCTCTCAAGTATAAATATTTACTATATCTAAGCCAGTATTTATGATGGGTACAAGTATAAAAAGTTTGCTGGAACTTGACACACATCTACAGTATACATGGCTTACCAGGGCTAGCTCTGGATCAGCACTGGGATCCACACCAAACTCAAAGTCACTGGCACCAAGACCCATCATAGAACCTCCTTCCCCGGCCAGGATGGGAGAAGAGAGGAGCGCATCAGCCAGACTGGGCCCTGGAGGGACTGTGACCAGATGGGAGCCTGTCCCCTCCTTCCCATTTAAAGTATTTATAAAAGCAGTCAGCTTCTCTGTGTTCACCTCCTGAATAAAACAGTTGGAGAGAGATGGCAAGGTCAATTGAAAACTCAGTTTATGAATGGGAAGAAGTGTCAGATATGGAAATCAATATCATACTTTCATTTACTCTGCAGTAACATGAAGATAAACCAAGAATTCCTCACCTCTTCTCCAAAGTTGATAATATCCACATTCACTTTCTCTTTTTTTAAGCGCTTGGCCATCTTGACAAGCTGCAGAATCAGCAGGTTGGGATGTGAGCAGGACGAGACAAGCAGAGAGACATATGGCTGACAGGTTAGTGTGTTAAACTTACGATACATCGGTAGAAAAATAAAGTTTCTCTCTGTTGGACTTGATCAAAATGTAATACAAGACTTCAAACTCACATCTTTCTCATTATCCTCCACAGGACTCCCAACAAAGGCAATGATCCTCATCTTGTGGTTTTTTCCTTGTCTGTGTTTTAGGGCCAGCTACGCAGGAAAAAAAACATAAAATTATGGCCACTCAAACTCTGCTGCTGCAAAAAGTAAACTTACCAATTAAGAAATCACTAGGTATAGCCCTCCTTTAAAGTTTATTAAAACCAAAACAACCAAGTTACATACATGAGCCACTCTGATGCCTGTGCAGAAGCAGATCTTTCCTTTGGGCTGGACAGCGTGGAGTTTGGACAGGATGCGGCCAGAATCTGGTGTCAGTGTGGTCAGTACCTCACAGTTACTGCATGGAAACAAAGACAGGCATCAACGTTCGTGCTATGAAGTGCTATTGAAGTTATATGAGGATTATCACAACTTCTGACTACCTTTGTTAAATAAAGAGAGAAGAGCTTACTTTGCCATGGTGATGAGGCCCACATTATTTTCTGGGTTGCTCCGTGTTTTGGAGTGGCAAACAATGTTAACAGCATCTTGTTGAGCCTGTAGTCTCGTTGGTAGAAAGTCTCCATTTCTCATATATTCACTGTTGTCCACACTGCAGGGAAATTTTCAGTTAAATGTGGCTCTGATGTATTTGACCAGCATTTAGACAGCTATGTTGTTGTCTTTTTGCTTTTTTGTATACACACATCTATTTTCACCTACTTGTTCTATGTTTACATATCTTTGTTCTTTGTTTTTATGTCTATTTCTACCTTTTTGCAAATTGTTCTTGGAACTATGTATTAGCCCATTGAGAGAAACTTCCTTATATGTGTAAGTGACACATATTTGGCCAATAATAGCTGATTTTGATTCATCATTTAGCATTTAGCAGTTGACATGTCATTTCCATTTCAACCAAGAAACCTATTTCAGTTTCAGACATATCCTCTCCTATTCACCACTGTTTCCCTGTGGAAAAGCCTGTCCTCTTCACCGGGGAAGAAGTTAACATGTGTTTTAACAGCTGGCGTTACATTATTTAAAAAATACAGCATTAGCAAGGCTTGCTAACGTTAGCAAGTGGTGACACCACATTATTCCGCTAGTTGAAACAATCAAATGATCGCGGTTGTCAGTTGTCAAGTGTCGTCATAAAGCACTAAATTGTGTAAAATTAAATTAACAAACGTGTTCGTATACGCTACGGTTACAACAAACACTTAATTAAGACAGCAAATCTAAGCTAACTTTAGCTACAATGACTCAGCCAGTCGACACTGCGTTAGCCGGCTAGCCGTTAACGGTCTATAATCAGCCCAGTTAACTTGGGCTTCCTGCAATTTCAGGTCTATGAACTACCTAATCGAGTAATTTTTGTTTTGTCTTCAAATGATCCGCCAACAGATCAAAAACTACACCAAAAAATAGCATCTGTAGAGTTCTTACCAGACCATAGTACTTTCAAGCCCCATTTTGGAAACGTCTTGTTGCTCTCTGTCGTAATCTTACAAGCTCACAGGCTATTGGACAAAGACTGAACAAGGCCAAATATGATTGGCCAGGTTTTTTAACATGTAATTTAGTGATGAATAGAACAGGTTAGAATAGTTTGACAATAAAACTCCAAACTCAAGGTTGTTTAGTTGTCATTATATAGCACAAGGTTGTATAACGAAACGAAGTTTGTAGTACCTTCATGCTACACACACAGAACTTAACATATAAGCTAATTAAGTGTATATTAAAATATGGTAACATATACAATAAAATCAAACAATATGTACAGTTATTTATATACATATACTGTATACACCCAGAACATTCTGCAGTGTAATTTTTTTTATTTGTGTCTGGGGAGAATGTCACCAGCAGCAACAAGATGATAATATAGTTTCATCTTTGCATTAAAAAATCTGACATTTGGGAAACTCAAGGCCCACTTTCAAGCTTTCTATCATCCTGAACTTTCTACTGCTTCTTTAACAGCGGATGGAATCTGCTCATTTGTTGTAAAGATAGCTCAGGATAAAAATGAAAAATATATGTTGACAAGATAATGTTAACTAACACTTAACTAGCTTTTCTTCCCCAGATTCTCACAACTTTTCTCAGCTGATACACCTTGCTAAATTGTCACTGACAAAGCTTAGATTGAAATAGAACAGAATTTGTACAATTACAGACTAGGACTGAGCAACATCATCAATCAAATGTAATTTTAAGCATATCTTGAGTGAGAGCTATTGATAGAGAAAATAACCAGGCAGGTGTCTCTCTTTTTGCTGAATCCATCATCTTACAGCAGAAATTGAAATCCAACATTTCCATAAACCAGTTGTGTTATTAATCTGCAATATTGCCTGGGAGTAATATATCAATAAATGCAAATGGGATAACTACAAGGGTGTCACCTTGTGTTGAAAAGTGGTGGGGACATAAAGATTTTTAACAATATTTTGAAGAAATCTGAAATGCTGAAATATATGAGCAGGGGTCTGAGTGTCCTCCCCCAGAAGATTTTGAGCATTAAACATTTCATTTCCTGCATTCTGGAGACAATTTCTGCTCCAATTTATGGGGGAAATATCTTTATTTATATAAAGAGAAACAAAAAAATCATAAATATAAAAACATGACAGAATATGATGCAGTAATCAGCAGCTTGTTTTTTTTTTTAGTTTAAGTTACTATTTTTTGGACAATGCACATTTGTTTCTTCTATATTAAAACTGCAGTGCATGTTTTCTTATTGTGCAAATAAACCTTTTCATAAGAATTTTCATTTGTTAGTTAACATTTCTTGGTACAAGCTATTTTTCTGAACATTTTCAACAAATGCTTTCAAAAAGTGATGGGGACAAAATTGGCCATTTCAAAATGTGGTGGGGACATGTTCCCAGTGTAAATGACACCTATGGACAGCTAACTCATTATTAACATTAAAAATGTCTGATGGTTGACGAAGTAATATCATCTTGCAGTATGTATCACAGTCAAATTGCATTACACTATTAGAGACATAAAAAGTTGTTTTAATAATGAAATGTAATCAACACAGTCTTTTGTCTTTATTAACCTTAGGCACAAGTGCAAGGGTACAAAAACATGACATCACCGAAAGAGGGAAAACTTCTAAATACATATTGCATGAAAAGGCATTGTTGTGATTCTTGTATATAGGTATGCACACATTTATTGTGTTTAAATCAAAAGGGAAGTGAAGACAAATTAACAGGTATAGTGTACAGGAAAAAAACAGGGCGAGTTAACAGTTTTTAAATCAAAATCATCCCCAAAGAATAAAGGTTTTCTCTTTAGATTTTAGAGCTGCATGCCATGACACAGGTTTGTTGTGCTAAAGAAAGACACATTTTGAATCCATCATCTACATTAATAAAAATCTTGGAAACCAGAGCAATAGATAAAGTAATAAATACTATACATAAGTCATATGACTATTTACATGTTTGGGTCATAGGCTGCATGTGTAACTGCTTTGCAATAAAGGCACAGTTTGACTTTAATTATTGGGTTACCTGACAGTTTGATATAACAGCCAACAGAATAAAATAACCTCCACATATAATTTATAGGATGTGTTAAATGCCCAAATAATGCTGGTTTACATTATCCTGGTTGGAAAATTGTCAATTCATTTAATGTATTGCACAGTCTATTCATTCAGGAATAAGAATGGAATAAACAAAGCATTTGGTTGCATAGCTGAAACATATTTCAAATGACACATTTATTTTATGGTGTCATCCTAAAAGCTAATAATGTATTTCTGAATTTCCAAAATTTCAAACTAGTTAAAACATTGCACACCCATTTTGAGTACTAAAACCAACTTGAATCGAAGAACAAAAACTACATCCACCAGTATGTGTTTACAAAAAGTAAACCACCAGTTCTGTCTTTTTTACTTTTACACAGCAGGCAGCCATCACCACGTTTTCGCTAGGTAAAAAACAGCAACTATAACATAGATGGGGCCTGTCTCAAAAATCTCTCAGTTATCAGCCTCACTACACCAACACTGATGATTCTTGACAGGCACACAACTGGCTCGGTTAACTCTGCGTTACCAAACAACAAATCAATGAAAGTGAATTTAATCAGAGATAGGGGTCAAAATGTTTACCCTTTTAGGGAAATTGCAGCAACAAAAGTTCTATTAATGATATCATTAATATAATCAATTAAAATGATAAATGTTTCTGAAATACTAAATGCACCACTCAAATACAAAAAGCAAGAACATGAGTACAAAAAGCTGAAAATAATTTAACAATCAAATAACATTACATCATAAATCAATGGGAACACATTGGCTTTAATATGTGGTTGACATGAGTAGCCTCAAGTGGAAAGTAAAAGATTACTAAAATTTGAGTAATCACTAATATACTGACTTTATACATAGCTTTTTACTTCTAGCAGCAGGCTACTGCATACAGTGGAAAAAAAACTTTAAGAAATGCAGTACCACCCAAGTTAATTGGTCAAATATTCAAAGTCAAAACTTCTACCAACCCACACTGCTAATTTTTCTTTTGGCCTGTGCCTCCCACCCTAGTATGTTTCTTCGGACAAATACATTCTGCCCTCCTAGCTAGAAAGGCAGACAATAACACTCAAGCAAATCTTGCTACTCTATTCTACAATATATGTTCCAATTTACAAAACTCTTTGAGTGGTGAAGTCATAAAATAGAAAACAGCAAACGCACACACATAGTAGCGCCATCCAAAAAACAAAATTGCTCATTGGCTGTAAGGTGGCACTTGGGCCAAAATGGCTGAAGCGCTCTTTTAGAGGCTTTGCTTAATAGCAACAGTGAGCCACCTCACATTATTATGTATATATAGATATAGATATAGATATAGATATAGATATAGGGAGAGGGAGAGGGAGAGGGAGAGAGAGAGAGTGCAGCAGTCCGTTGGAATTTGAGCTCTCATAGAGCCACTTCACTGAAAACTTTGCTGACTAACTCACTAGTCTTGCTTCGTGAGACAGGCCCCAGTTCACGTTTTGTTATGTCCCCATACTAAACCTCACCTTTTCACCTGAACATGAGAAGTGACATTTAGGATTCACAGTATTTGTGGTTAAATAGAAACCACAAGTGGAGGACCACCTCTTTTTACAGCATAGTTTGCATTCAGAGTAAGCCAAGCCAAAGTTTAAAAAAAGCTTTTGTTGTTAAACAAGGCAAAGTCCTCATGTTACACTCTACATAGTGTTCAATACCCACGGCATTAATGTACCCACCGTTACTAGTGTCAGAACACCGCCCACTTACGCACTCATACCATGTTGAGAGTTGTAAATCAAAGTGCAAAACCAACATCAAAAAACATTTAAATATCCCACTTCATCTTTGCTGATATACTGTAAAATGTTTTCAACTGTGGTACCTCAAACCACACCAAGGGAGCTTGTAACATTTCATCCATGAATCGCAATATCCTCCAAGTTTGTTTCAGTCCATTTTAGTCCATTTTTCTCTTTCCCACATCTACACCTGTAAACCCAAAGCAATGAGCCTGGTTAAAAAAAAAAACACTCAGCATAGTAAAAGTGTCACAGAAAATCTTGAGAAATTCTATCAACTTACAGAACATTTGCTTGCGCTAGGAACAATATCACCGAGAGAGATCACATCATCAGCACCGATACTTTCTTCAAGAGTCCCAAGCTGAGCTCTGCAAACCACAAAGGAGCAGTGTTAAATGAGATACAACATGAAACACTGGGTTTGTGTGTATGTTAAAAATCAAGTGAAGATGAATTTAAAAACTCAAAATACTAACAAGGCTTTTATGCTTTTCTTTAAAAAGAACTCAGAATTACTTCCAACCTGTTTTCTGATCTTTGCCACTAGATGGAGATTCTAAAGATGCTGCACCACCTTCTCCCATGCTGACTTTCCTGAGTTTCTGGTTCAGTTACATTTTTGCCATTACTTCATACTCTCAGGCCACCTTCACTCCCAAACTGTGTACCACCCACAACTGGTTTCAGTTGGGTTCAGTCAACAGAAGATTAAGACGTTTAATTAAAGTTTAGTTATCGACTAATCTGCTGGAAATGTTCTTACTGAATTTATAATATACAGATTTATCTATATAAAATTGTAAAATTCTAGAAAAAAAATATATATTATCAAATAATAATTACACTACACATTTAATCATTAGCTATAAGACAGTATCATATTTTACATACAATATTTTCCCTCTTACCTCTTGAGGGGGCTGTGGTGATGGTCTTTGCTCAGTGTGTTGTTTAAATCCACTCCCGCTGACCTGCTGGTATCCTGAGGCAAAACAGGGTTTCCCAAGGAGGAGGAGACGGCCGTGTCTTTAGCATTGCCAACAGCGTCCCTGGGTGGTAAGGTCTTTGGGAGGAGGTCAGGACGACCTGAATGCATGACTGGGAGGAACAGGAGGAAAAACTGTTAATACAAATGCTGATACATGCCAGGAGACTGAATCTCCGCGGGTATCAGTAAACAAAATTTGCTTTCAACGCTCCCGCTGAAAACTTTAATCCCATTTCCAGTTCTTACCATTGTCACCTTCGGTGTCTTCTTTGGTCTCAGAGCTTACTTGATGTTGGAGTAAAGGGTGCTGGCTGTTATGGGTCAACAGAGAAAGCCCAGAGCCAGCTGTCTTTTTCAAAGGAAGATGTGCCACTGCACGGCGCTTCTTACACGGGGAGGGTTTTACTGGATACAAGGGAAAAATGGTTGCATGTAATCAAATCTAACTGAATTCAACTTTAAAAGTATTTAGACCACATATTTAATTCTACTTTATTTTCAAATATAGCACACAGTCATTGTAATGACAAATAAAATCGTGCACAATTACTCTCCACAACTACCAATGCTCCATGACAGGCGAGCCATGCATTTTAAAGGAAATAAAACAACAAAAACAACAACGTGCTTGCCCCTGGCCCGTATCCAAGTGCGCCACACAAGCCTGTTCACAAACAGTCCTAAAGTGCATATTCATGTTCATGCACACATAGATACAGTATATACTTACATAAGATCTTCTTGAAGACTGTATTTAGCATGAACTTCTGAAATCGTTCGGCGTAGAAACTCGGCCTGTGTACTGACACAGTATCCTAAAGAGAAGGAATTATTGAAGGGGTTAGACATATATGTTTTAGTTTATAACGTAGTTTAACGTAGTTAACTGATGCTAGTAGAGGTTCCATACCCCATCATGAACCAGAGCTTTCCACGAGTGTTCAAGCCTCTTCGCAAACCTGAAAAACAACAACACACAGAGCCTGGATTACTCAGAGAAGTTTCGCAATCAAACATATTTGGTTTCAAATAACACATTCACAACAGAAACATTAAACTGACATCCACTTCAAACTTCATCATTGTGGCTCATTCACAAGCATCCAATCATAGTCATGCATGGCCATTACAAACGGACACTTATGATACTCTGATACTCTTATGCTAACACCACTTCAGGCTGCAGCACCCTCCACCATCCTGACCGCCTTCTAATGCGCTGTATTTTTGTAAGATTTAAGCTGATGATACCCAGAGCAACTTTTAGAGCAATCGTGCAGGGCAACGTTGCCGTCAATGGTAATGAGTAAAGATTACTACCGTAATCCCCTTCCCCCACCACTCCGCCACCCATCGCCGCTATCCGTTCAAAACATAGTCGGACTTGCCACTAGCAAGATTGCCCAACAACATTGCTCAAAAAGTTGCCCCATGTATCATCAGCTTTAATCTTCATGTATTTTTCTTTTATTGACAAATCTAATTTTGTCTGACCATTTGTGCAACATATTATGCAACAATACAGGAGGTCGTCTATCTACTGCACGCCTGATGGAACAGATACGTCTCTATTTTAATTATTTCAGCTGTCTACACAGGACATGTAAAAGCTAAACATGTGCTTAAGTATAACCAAAATTGTATTTTAAGCTTCATGTCTACTTTACTTCTGCTTTACTGCAGTGATTGCGTGTTGGGCTCTGAGTGCTGCTGAAATGCAGGTGACCTACACTCAATACTGAGCCTGAAAACATCTTGTGTAGACATACAGAGCACTGAAGCTGCTGTTCTGCTTACGTGCTGTGTAGACATTGTGTAAGTGTCACTGACTAAACAAGTGGTGTATAGATACACAAAAATGTTGGACTCTTTACCTATAAGACTGCAGAATGTCAATGATACCAATATACACCAGCAGTCTCTCGCCTTTTGCGTTTCGTGCTGGAATTCCTCCCGTTCTGTAAAACAAAACAAGAGGAAATCATTATTGAGTGTTATTTCTTTTCGCTCAGTAAATGCTTCTTTGTCAGAAACCGTTTCAAGGAAGTTGCCTCACACATGACCTCTCTGTGGCCACAGAAATAGTGTCACTCACTTGTCCTCCGTGTCCAGTGATCCCATGCGCCCTGCCTCAGCCTGGATGGCCTCTATAGCAGTGCTATACAGGGACTTTTGGCCTTGCGGCCTCATTTGGTCCACAGCCCCAGCTACGGCCTCCTCACTGACCTGCTCTCGACAGGCCTGATCTACATTGTGGATTCCCACCAGAAGGCTGTAATCCATTATCTTAAAACTTTGCAAAACCTAAATGGAAATCGAGAAACACAAGTGCTGTGATATATTTTACTACTAGACCATGTGTGCAATTTGATCTAAAATGCAGTAAACTGAAGTTCTTACCAGACAGTCTCTGTGGATGGTCTTGGAAACAGCATTGTACGTGTCCCCTTCCATTAACAGGCCCTCAGGCATGTCCTGGATAAAATCCAGGTCCTTGTACGTGGGAACAGCCTTTTCTCTCTCTTTAGCTGAGGCTCGTCGCTTGTAGGTTGAGCCCTTTAGATCATACTTGAGGTGCATTCGTACAGCGCTAGGGAGCAGATTGTTCATGACTACAATACGGATGTTCTTACCCGCTGCCTGGACACAGTAGAGTCCATAAAACTTTGGTAGTAAGGTACGCTTGTTCTGGTTCAGGTTCTAAAGGAGAGCAGAGAGCATAGAGGTCAAATATTAAAAAGACATTAAAACAGATACCAACTTGTACCAAAAGCCCTTCACTAAATCTTACCATGAAGTATCCAGGAAGCAGTTTCTGCAGAAATTCCGCCTCTTTGTGTTGCACTGTCTTGATGATGTACTCATCATCCCTAGAGAGGTAGAACAGAGATCCACTGGCCCCGGAGTTTGACAGCTCGATCAGCGGCTCATTGCACAGAGAATACTGTAATCAGACCAGAGCACAGTGGTTACAAATGTGATAGCAACCAAACAAGAACACAGACTTACAGGTTAAAAACAGGAAAATCAATAGTCAGCTGTGCTTTTACATCGTCAGCCGCCCCACCTCAAGTGTCTCACCACTTCCCTAGTATCACTCTTTCCAGTTCCTCAATCACAACTTTCTTCTCACACTTCACACCTCTTTCCCTTTCTTCAGAGCTTTACTGTTATTCAAGCTGGGTTTTTTTTGCACATTTACTAAGTGTAAAAGACGCTGAGTAAACAAGAATACCATGTAGTCATCAGGCCGGATGCCAAATATCTCCCTGTAGTAGCGAAAGGCCATTGGGGCATATGTCTTGAAACGGAAGTCTCCATAGTGGTGGGCCGGTGTGAGGTTACTGCCCTCACTGCCAGAAAAAGAGAGGCTGAGGATTAGCTACACCACATACAAGGGAGGTTAAGTCATGGAGTATTAATTTAGTACAGACAAAACTTCCTGTTACAGGAAATAAAGCATACATGTAATCACCTTCATAGCACGACTCACCTTGGAAAGAAGATGCTTTCCATCACTTCAAAGTCCTGCAGCAGCACGTCTCTCTCAGGTTTCTGGGTTAAGCTGCCCACCGTGTGTGTGATGCCTAACTGGATAGCACCTTTCAGGGCAGATGATGTTGTCTGGAAGACAGAGAAAACTGACATTTATCAAATGACAAATGCAGTTTAGATCTGTCTTGGGTAGATAACCTGGCCACACTGGCAGATAATTTTAGCAGATTATCAGTTGATTATACACAGCTTTAAATGATCACATGCAGTTACAAAGTTTGAGTAAGCATGCTTTAAATTTATGCACAGTGGCTGATAAAAGAAATTGCACAAAAACAAGCTGTCTTTGATGGATGAGCTCTAAGGTCTATTTCACACATTCGCACAACAGATCCATCAATATCTTGTAGCCAATCATAATCAAGCCCCTACAAAAGGATTTGACAAAAATTTCCATTACCATTTGTAAATTGTGACGGACATTTTTAAACTATTTCATAGACTAAGCGATTAATCGAGAAATTTAGCAGCAGATTAATATATAATGAAAATAACTTTCAGTTGCAGCTCTAAGTGAGTGAATGTCAGTCAGTGATGGCTGATTTCCCACCTTCTTGTATGTCGTCTCCCCTTTAGGATCAATTCCACGATGGCCGATGGTCTTTTTCATGGTCTGAGACATGCTAGTGCTTGGACTCTGTCAGTACAAACACGGTGGAAGGGAGAATTACAAGATGAGGATTACTAATTCCAACTCTACACTTTTCTCATGTTTCAAAGAGGAAGTAATAGAGGCTGTGTCAGCTAAATATCAGCAATCTGCTGTCAGAGATGAACACAATGAGTGTTTCCTAACTGACGCAGAGCTAGACTATGCATTTCTTCCAAACAAAATCAGTTATTTCTTACCTCGGGAAAAGCATTTTTTGGAGTCCCAGTCGAATCTGCAGGGAGAAAAGGGATGAAACATACAAGTTACACAAGAAATACACTAAGACATTAGTTAATGAAACAACTGCAATTCTCACATTAGATGCATTCATATCAAACACAGCTTGAAAAAGCTTCCCACCATTCCCTAATTTTGAAAACAGCGGAGTGCAGAGGCGCTTTGAAACAATCATGCAGACGCACCTTGTTTATTACCTCTGAGAGAAGACAGTCTCCTCCAGAACTGACTCTGCAGGTCTTTGGTGCAATGGGAGGAATTAGATAAGTATGCTATTACTATTAACGTGAGTTTAAACAGGGCCAATGAATGTCATGATCTCTTTAATTGAAAGTAATGTTGGTGGAAGTCCAAAGTCGACATTTCACCTAAATAGTTTACTGTTGTCTTCTAAGGAACACACCCTAAAAAGGGAAACGACATAATGGTGTCATACTTTCAGTTTGATTTCATATTATGTATAGTAATAATGGTGAACTCCAACGACACTTAAAACATAAGACAAGATAATACTTTATTTATTTTTATTTATCTCCAGCGGGGGAAACTCGGGTGTTACAGCAGCAAGTTACAGGATAGCTGCACATCGGTAAATAAATAAATAAAATAAACACAACAGAAAGTTGTGGGTATTTACCAAGCTAGGAGTGTCTAATAAAAATATGATATTATTCACATTATGGGAAACATAGGCTTGACACATACCAGGGATTATGACATATATATATATCTGGACATTTATATATCATGTTTTTACTCAGTCTTTGGTGAATCCCACAACTTTAAGGAAGTAGAATAGAAAATTGCTGGAGTTCCCTTTGAAAACTTTTTTTGTTGTTGTTAAAAGGTGCCGTAGATTAAGGCTCATACTTCAGGGTTTCTACTAGAAAATGTTTACATGCCTTAATGTTCAAAATACACATTATTTCTCACACTGTCCACTGCTTCAGCTCCTCTTTTCACCCTCTGTCTGAACACTCCATTTTAGCTCCTATCTCTTTAAAAGTCCCCCTCCCTGAAAGCCCACTTGCTTCTGATTGGCCAATGTCCCTGAGAACAGCAGGTGCACCGGACTTGGCTCCACAGGCCTAACTGATTACTGAACAAAAACACAACTTTATGGCTGTGTTCACACTGCAGGCCAAAGTGACCCAAATCTGAAGACTCAGACCTGTTTATTTTTTACAACATTGTATACAAGTCACATGAAATCTGATCTTTTCCAGTTCAGATGTGGGCCACTTTCGTATGTGGTCCAAAACCGAGACTGATCGGAATTTTTGAAATGCGACCTCAGTCGGGACAGTCAGATCAGTCAGATCGGAATTCATGCAACTCTATTCTCACTATCTGGCCCTAGACGTAGCCGCATTGAACGAATCTCCACAAAAGCCATTATTAGACATGTGGCTCTCTATCGTCTTTACCTCACTATCATCTGTTCACAGATTCCCTTATTTCGACCTGAAATCTACCGGTTTGCGACCCATCTTCTGAGTCACGTGCATGCTACTTGTCCAAGCGTACACAGTAGGGAGAGAGAGAGAGAGATTATGCGTTGTACAGTGCCCGAAACAGATATGAATGTAATGAAAAGGACAAAAAGTTGTAAACACTTTATTTTTGGGAGAAATGTGACCAAGGAGGAAACTGAGACAGGGCAATGAAAAACGTGAATCTCCCCCTGAAAATCAGGAGCGTTAACTTAAGCCTAGTTCACACGATTTTTTACCGATTTGCAGGGCTGTGTTCGGGGGTAAATCAGCGATCGCCAGTTATTATGTGTGAACTACTCAACAACACATCAAAACGGCTCCCCAACACATTTCTGACACATTGCAGACGGCAGCCACATATCTAGCATGGCAAATATCTGGAGGAGTCGGCCGACTCAACATCCACATCCAGCCAATGAGAGCTGGCAGCTACTTTTCACTGCAAAACACTTTTTACTCACCTCCAGCTCTCTCTGTAGCACGGATTATCCCTGCTACCTGCATGTGCTAATCCATTATTTCACACATATTCTTTGTCTTTATAATTGCTAACTTTATAATAACAAACAACAGCTGTTTTGTGTGTAGGTTTGCGTCATTTCCTGTTTCACGTGTTTTCTTGACAAAACGCGGATTGGAGACCTGCGTCAGGTGACAGAGCCGCTGTCAACTCGTGTAGTGTTTGACCCTCTGTCACCGATCAGTCACGTAGTGTGAACGCCACGATTTCAAGACGGCAAGTTGTGCAGTCCGAACAGCACGGCGATCGGCCAACACTGAAAGTCGTGTAGTCTGCACCAGCCTTTAGCAAGTATCAGCTAAATGGAGCTGACCTCTGTGGCTTCTTGTTTACTTCTGAACGAAAGCCTGCTCCAAATGGCATCGTTTTATTCTTCTGAACATGCGGGTCACACTTAAACAATAATTTGAACTGTCAATCAAAAAAAATCAAATGTGGGCAATAAATCAGAATTGAGCATTAATGCTGGCAGTGTGAGCGTAGCCTATGATTTATTTAATGGTTTTGGTGAAACTGGATTTTCTGGGTTTCCCTCTGATGTTCTCCGGCTGCTCTGCATCACATTTTGGTGATTTACGGAGTTTGTATGTTACCAGTTACTTTAGACACTAACTACTGCTAACAGTAGCTGCCGCTTGCCACTCAGTTAGCAGTGCAGCCAGATGTCTTATTACTGATTCTGACTAGACTGGAAACTTGGGGCTCTGGGGGTTTGTTGGTGTTTACACCTAAAACATTAGTACGGAAGCTTTGGACCACTGCTTCAGAGCCAGCTGATAACAGCAGCTACAGTTATCAGCAGCTAACGGTAGCTGTAGCGTTAACGACAAGTAAAGGAACTTCATAAAATACCGAGTTGAGGCAGAGCAGCTGGAGTACATCAGAGAGGAAACCAGAAAATATTTACCTTTCCTTCATAATCATAAAAGCACTTTCTGTGAGACATACTAAACAACCTCCAGCTCTGGCTTGATAAGCTTATATGACCACTGCTTTAGTTTATGTAAATTTTGTGGGCATAAACATTTGTGATCCAAGATGTTATGGAACATCTAGCACTTGTTGGCATTCACCCGTTTTTCCAGGGAATTTTGCATTTGCAAGATTTACATATGAAGGAGGAATCAATGGTGATGGAGGCTCACGGTATGTCACTTACATGTACTTAACTCTTTCTATTCAACTATGCCAAGGTTAATGCAGTTTTCCATTCTATGGCACCTTTAAATGGCCCTATTTCCTGCTGCTAATTTCCACTCAGTTGCCAGTTGTTTTTTAAATAAACCTAGCTAAAACTATTGCAGGCTCTATACTGAGAAGTGTGTTTGACCACCACATTTATTTAAGTAGTAAAACACCTCTCAGTACAAGTTCAACACATTACAGTCTCAAAAATTACTATAAAGTTGAGTCAACACATGTCCTCATCCTCAGACATGCTTAGACCCAGCAGTGAAGATCATCTGAGGATTACATTTATGAGGTGCACACAGGTTTTGTATTGAGGAAGATGAAAGTGAATAAACCAACTAACTTTGAGTCTGTTAAGCTGCTGACCAATAAGTGTCTGCCACAGGACCCATAACGAGTCAATGTTCATGTATCTGTATCACTTAAGTGGACAACTCATTCGACCTTATGTCAAACGCATCTGATTTATCTTTTTCAGGGAAAGGCGGTGTATAATAATACAGTAATGTTACTTACAACCAGAGGGGCTCTGCAGCCCTGGAGGCTCCTCTGCGGCTGCGGCCATTCAGACCAGAAACAACACTCAGACACGGTTGTGGTGAAACTCAGACCCCGACTCACTCCTGGACATCCACAGTTGTCAGGCTTCTCTTTGTGAGCGTTTCAGGTAGATGGGGCTCTGTGTAAGTTAGACAAAAATACCTCATTTACAGCAACAGCCACAATATTGACAACAACCACGTTGACTGGCTCTACTAATGGAGCTGATCTGAAAATAAAAAGGCAACTGACTGATGACTAAGGTACGTTAACTTACGGAACTGCTAATGTATGGTAAGAGCAGTGCATGTTGAAACATGTCGGCATGAAAGTTGGCAAAATGTCTGGATTGCGACATATACTTAAACAGAGGCGAGAGAGTTAACTGCTAAACTTTTCTAACTTTAACCCGAGCTAAGTCCGTGCGCTAATAAGTAACCAAAAAACAACACAAACGGTCAACTCACTTGAAAATCTTGTGAAGGAGTTCTCGTCGCTTCTAGAAGAAGAAAATAAATAGAATAATCCCCTTTTTTTTTTCTTAAGGCACTGTTTCCCCCTAAAACTAATAAACAAGGAAGCAGTGCGGAAGCAGTGGTTTTGTGTCAAGTTCTTCTAGCGCGAGCAAGGACAGAACTTCCGGCTGAATTTATTTTTCAAAACAAAACTACTAAGGCCTTTATTCTGTACAGAATGTGTCCATTATATTTATTATATCTGTACGGATTGAAGTATTGATTGTGTGTGGTTCAATTAATAGGCTATATTTCAAGAGATTGAGATCTAAAACCACATTTTGCAAAGTCACAAATAACTACATCTGATAAAAAGGAAAGTAAGGTGACTGTACTACAAAACAGCAGTTAAAGAAGAAGTGTTAAGTGGTTTTAATTAAGTAAAAGTTTCCACAATGTCAACATACTCTGTATATCTGTCAACATACTTATTTCTTTATTATAATCCATTATATTTTAAAATTTTGAATTGTCACCTGCCACCTGAATTTTGTGTTTCCCTTTATATAAATAAAGACATTTCCAACATACATTGGTGCAGAAAATGTCTCCAGTATGCAGGAAATTAAGTGTCCTCAAGATTTTTAGATCTTCTCATCCTGTTCTCATGAACCCAATATTGTGCATCGTCACGTCTCTTGAGCTAAGTGCATCGTCACACCCCTAATCGGAGCCCTTATGTCCCCACCTTTCAACACAGAGTGGCGCCCTTTAAATTCTATAAATGTACAGAAGTATTGGCAGCAAAATGGAATATGAAGTATTTAAATGAAGTATTCATTATGCAGGAGAATAACTCCTGTCAGTGTAATATTATTATAGATTATATTAAAGTAATACATTAACATGTAAGCAGTATTTTCAACTTTATAGTTGGTCGAAGCTGAGCAAATGTTACCCTCTTTATTTACTTTGGGTAGTTAAATCTATAATAAAGCATCACGTTGTGTAAATTCTTCATAGGTTGCATACGTATTTAACTTTAAAATATCTAGTAACTATGCCTGTTAAATAAATTCAGTGGAGTAAACTATCATATTGGCCTCTGCAGGACAATATAGTTAGATGCATGAAGGGTGGAAGTACTCAGGTAAAGTACAACTACCTCAAATTGTACTGAAGTAGCGTAAATGTGCTTAGTTACATTACAGCAATTACACTGCAGCAAAACAGTACCTCTGTAAATGCAACCTCTCGATACTGTGCACACAGTAAAAGGTCTATTTTAAACAGAAAGCGTGATAGAAAACAAAATATTTAGCAACACATACAACCATAAGTAGAAATGCCCCCATTTGATTGTATTTGGGTTTTTTTATTATCACAAATAGTATTATTTCTTTAAGTTTCTGCAGGTTTAGGTTATTTAGATTTACAATATTGTCTTTTATTTTGAAACCAAACAGAAAATGTTCTGCTCATTCTTCTGGTTGTCGTGATCTGCAGCAAATAACACTTAATATATAACATCTCAGTCAAACAGGGTTAAGATTTGTTTTAAATGTTTATTTATGACTTTTACACTTTGCTATTCAGACTAAGCAGGACAGTCAAACTTTTCTTAATGATCAACCTTTTTCTTATTTGAAGCAGCCAATGTGATGTTTCTCTATAGTTATGTGAATATAGCTTGTTGAGTGACAACAGAACTTTCATGTATTTATTTCACTTTTATTTCTCTAAAAGAATACTACAGCAAACTATGAAATCCACTCAGGACACAATTTATTTGAGTTATAACAGTGAACAAGTGGTTAAAATACAGAGCTGTCAAAATAATCACCGACTTCAGCTGTTATCATCCTGTATTAACACAATCAGCATGTCCTGTCCTTCTCTGACCATCTGTGATCTGCAAGATGCACAACAATATTAGTTCAGCATTATCTCTATTAGCTTAATCACACAAAAATCATTATTTTATCACATATAGATACTTTTAGATAACTGTTTTGCTGTGTTTCTCTTTATAATGTATAATATTTACATTTTACCGTTTTCTACCTTTAACAAGCATTGGCATTGAAGATGAATCCTGGCTCCTGGGGGACTAGGGGTGCAGTGTAGCCTGGGATTGGTTCATAGTTTGGGTTTGGCAGCTGGCTGTCGAAGCACTTCCACCGCACTTCTCCTGTTTTTGCACAGCACTCATATGGAAGAGTCATGGTGGCATATTCTTCCATACAGAACTGGGACAGGGCTTGTTTCCACTGCAAGAAAAAGGTACTTATTGTCTTGTTTCCCAAGAGTCAGAGAAAAGCACACCTCATCCTCACAAATTCTCATCACCCTTTTTTCACTCAGTAGATGTCTTTACAGTAAATGAGACTAGTAAAAGGTATACAGGAATTCCTTAAATACTTTTATTGTCATTTATCTTTTAATCTACTGATGGTGATTCTGTAAGAACTGAGAAATTGAGGTATCTTTGTCACCATTTGTCTTTCCTAGTATGAAAAGACCTTTTATTCAGTTTTTGAATTATGACTAAAATAATCTTAGGTATATGAGGGAACCTATACATCTATTAGTTTATGTAGAGGACCCTACAGAAAAACAAAATGGAAATAACAGGGGGGAAATAACTTAAAACTACTAACTCTGTGAGTATTTGTGCTTGCTGTTGAAGGTGAAAATGCACAAAATGCAATAGCAGTTTTTGATAAGTGATTAGAATACTTTATGATATATAATTGGAATACTTTATCTGATGTATCTCACTAAAGCAGTCAGGCTTCCTCACCTTGAATATCAACTTTACTATTCATAATGTTTGTTCATTGTCAGTTGTGTCTGTCTTTATTTGTCTTTTGGATCGGGAACTGAGTTTCTCCCCAAAACAAACACAAACACACAAGCAGAGACTCACAGCTTGTTGGGTGCAGCAGAGGATCTGGTAGCTCTGCACTTCTACTTGCCCACTGCAGCACAAACTGTACCACGACTCCAGACGGTTGATGGCGTCTCCACAGCGGCGGAAGAAGCTGGCACCGGACTTCAGGAAGAAGCTGGCTAGGTATCTGGGACGACCCTGACTGTAATAGCAAATGGCAGCCAGGTTCTGAGCCGTGGGGCGGGCAGGCGGGAAAGGGACGTCAGGCTCGTTTAAAGAGTTTCTGTGGGTCTCTGGGGAAATAGAACATAAAGCAGCACAGAAGTTAACATTGCAGTTTGAAGAGTACATTGCATATAAAATACTCAAAGAATGTAGAAGAAATTACCTGCCACATCGGCACCATGAAGAGTCAGCAGTGCAATTATCCAAAATCCTGTGAGGCCTCCAATTGAAATCATAGCTGTAGGGTTCTAGTAGAAGTGTGGATTTGGAAAAGGCAGATTTGTCTCCAGCAAGTTGATCAAAAATATTATGACTGGCTCAACCACCAGCTTATATGGGTGAGAGGAGTGACTCTGTGGGCGTGAAATGATTGGAAGTGGGGGTGGATGGGTCGAGAGGAAGTGGTAGTGTCTGTGTCAAAGTGTGTGCGTGTGTGGTGTCAAGATAAACACCCAATTCACTGTGAAGCCAAGGAGTTTATTCAGATCAGTGTAATGGTAAAAAAGCAAATTATAGGGACACACTGGAGGAATCCAGGAGAGCCCTCTTTTCAAGAATGGCTCACGGGAAAAAAAGTGGCATCATATGAACAGATGTCTTTAAGGGTAGGACGAAGAAATATGTGGCAAAGTGGGAAGACTACTTGTACACTAGACTACATTGTAAATATGGACAGACCTTGAAGTACAGCGCACAGATGCTACATGTGTATCAGAATGAATGTGTGAATTAGATTAGATTATAGTGATTTGTTATTATTAGTATTATTTTATTTATTACTTTTACTGTTATACATGTATGTGTATGTATGTGTATATATGTTATTAATGAATCCGTGTTTGTGTGTATATATATGTCCATAGAAATAATTTCATTTGTTGAGAAAGTGACTATGCTTATATCAATAAAATCAGTAAATGAAAATCTAAAAAAAAAATGCTAATTACAAAAAAAGATAAACACAAAATGTGTGTTTGAACATGCAAAATAATTTTTACAAGAAGCTCTTTGGCCAAGGTCATTTAAGTGTACATTCATAGGCGATATAATTAATCAAGTCCATGTTGACACATGTTCTAATAGACCTTTTGAATTATCATTAGAGGAAAAGTACAGGTGTTACTAATACATAATCAGTATGTATAATGTATCAGGTGTATATGATCCTTGATAACATTAACAATGGCTCTGTTCCGTTCAAGTGTCCCATTAAGCCATGACAGTGTGACAGTAAACCTGCATGAACAATACCAGGACCAGGAGTTACACCTGTGCTTTTTCTACTGACACGTGAAAAGCAGATATCATATCACCACACAGAACTCAAAACCTTATGCTATGATTTACCACACAGCAGGAATCCCACAAGACAGCAGGCCGTCCCTTTTATTCTTACACCAAATGCAAATGCATTACTACCAAGATTACTTATCTCAAATTAAAAAGGCAACCGGACACACACAAGCACTTAACAAAAAAAATCTTTTTGCCACTCTTGAATGTTTGGAAAAATACATTAAATGTATTCCAACATTTCTCTGTATCAACTATTTGTGATCAAATATGAGAGTATGTTTTGCTCTAAAACCTTTTCAGGTAAAAAAATAAAGCCTTAGAGTCCCATCAAGTATAGTAATAATATAGTAATAATAATAATAGTAATAAATATTGTAATAAACCACTTTTTGGGATTGTAATAGATAAAGCACAAGTCTACTTCAAAGCTAGTAAAACTAAAACTGTAGGCCACCTGAACTGTGAGAAACACATGTCAAAATGTTCACTTTCCATGTGCAACATTTCATTTAGGATGTAGTAAATGAATGCATGAATTTGGACTTCTTTTTTTTTAAGAAAATGAACTAGTAGAAAGAAAATCTATCCCAAATTTATCTTGAGCACTTTGTTTGGCATGTCAGTGATTCTTTGCTGACTTGATAAAGTGGGGGAGGAACATGGCACAGAATGGCATGTTTATCAAAACAATACCAAAACTGAACCGACATTAAACCTTCTGTTTTCAAAAACTGGCTGAGTGTGCATACTGTTATCAAAGGACACTCACTAAAAATGCTGAACATCTCGTCTCATGTTGTTATCTACAGACTGTGTTTTGATTTGCTATGTGAGAAAAATGAAGGATGCACTCAGTGAATCACTTTAATAGTTTTTCACTCCCTAAAATTCAGTCTCGCATAGTCATCCCTGCTGTCTGTTTTGTGCCCTTAAAAAGGTGGTGGGTGGTGATGGTGTAGTGGATAAGACACATGCCTTTGGTGTGAGAGAATCAGGTTCAAATCCAAATCCACTGTGAAACACCAATGTGTCCCTGAGCAAGACACCCCTAGAGGCGTGCGACCTCTGACATAAATAGCAATTGTAAGTTGCTTTGGATAAAAGCGTTAGTAAAATGTGAATGATTGATTGGATAACTACCATTCTTTTCCAGCTAATATTAGAAGCATTTTTCATATTTGTTTAATCATTTATTTCACAACATGAATATGTGCTCATCGGTATTTAATTGGTTTGTTTTGTGCTTCAGGTGTTTCTTAGGGTGTGACTTCAGATATGACCATTCTCCACCCTTAACGTATGCACCATTATCACAAATCCAATCTGCAAATGTCAAATAGAGACTCATTGGATTTTTATCCTTTCTCATACTGCACAAATGTTGCACTGTTGTAACCCACATTTTATTTTGTTATTTGTTTTGTTTTTTGGTATCCAAGGCCCTTACAATAGAGAGAGAGAATAGAAAGATTATTTATGCCTCACTTATCTGTAAATGTTTAATATTTGAGGGCAAAAATCCAATCCCATGCAGGGCCTAACAGTCTATTAGTTAAGTCAAACTTGAATAGTCTGAACAGGAAGCTAAGCACAGTCTTAGACATTCTCCAACATCTAATTTAACATTACAGTCTGGTGAAAACCTAATGTGTGTTTTCCATCCATTCTCAGATACAATTTAAATTCAATTCAGAATTTCAAAATTCAGGTAAATTCAATTTAAATGAGACGAGTCTTCCACCTGTTTACATACTTTAAGCAAGGTCCTAACAAGTCAACACGTGTTAGATGTCCACATGCAAAGAGAAAATGTTGCCATGTGATTAATCAGATGCTGACTTGGCATCTGTGCAGGCAGCGTGACACCTTCTCCCTGATTGGCTTCCTCTGGATCACCTAGACAAATAAAAAGGCCATCAATTGAGATGCCATTTAGCAGATCCTTGGTTTTCTGGTGCAGGTAAGGTTGATTTGCAAATTTAATAACTATAAGGATGATTGTTATGTTGCCTGAAGGACTGACATCGTAAAACACATCTGTAAAACTCTTTGAATGGTAAAACTGTCTTCAGCCTCTTACAGTGATTTTGGAGCAACATGTAGGCAAACTTGTGTGTATCTCAAACCTAAAATATGGTTTATTGCAATTTTCAACTTTGATGAGTTAGTCTATTAGTTGTAAATGGAAGTCTGAAGAGGTCAAAAACCCAGCAACACTTGTAGTATAAAGAGTTACTTTATTATACTTTCAGTGTTTCTGGGGTTTTGACCTCTTAAGTTCTCCGTGCACTGTGGAAGTGGGCGAACTTCTGCCAGATTTTTAGAATTTCAAGAGTGAGATAAGACTAGAAATTGTATATTTGTCTCCAAGACCAGTGTTTGTGAGTCTATGTGTGTGTCCTGTTGTCTTCAAACTATTTTCGAATGTGCTTGCATTATTTCAGGTTTAACAATGACAGGGCTGGTCTGCTGCCTTGTGGGATTACTGCTGGGAGGTAAGTCAACTGACAAAGTCAACTTATTACTAATTTCCATGCACTTTCCTGGAAAATCTCTTACTATGTTATATTCCAAAATTCCTATTTTCACCTTAAACTTTGGAAACTGTCAGAACAATTTTATTTTTGTTAACCATTAAATAAACTAAACATTTTCTTCCGTTTATGCTACTTAATACTTATACTCCAGTACATTCATTTGATAACTTTAGTCAGTAGTTACTTTGCAGATGCAGATTATTAATACAAATATAATTAAATTATTATGTTTTATTATAGGTTAAGCTAAGATAAGGCTTTATTGATCCTGGGGTGAAATTCACAAGCTAATCAGCAGAATAATTAAGTCATTAAGTATATTAAGTCAAATTAGCCCCTTTACCAGCTGCACCATTAACGTTTGTACATATGAATATATCAGTAATTATCAAGCAATGACATAATTACATTATTCTGAAATGGGCCATTCTGCATGATGAGTACTTTTTCTTTTACTTGAAGAATATTTCTATACTAATGCATTTGTTCTTTTTAAGTACAATTCTGAATGCATGTTTTTTACTTATAACAGTGTATTTCTACACTGTAGTATTGCTACTTTTACTTGACTAAAATACCTGAGTACTTTTATCTAAGTACATTTACTCAAGTACTGTACTTATGTACAACTTTGAGGCACTTGTACTATTTTCTTTTCTTACCACTTCCTGCTCGATCGATTAGTCGATTAATCAATCAGTCAATTGACAGAAAATTAATTAGCAACTATTTGGATAATTGTTATAAGTCATTTTTAGAGTAAAATCATTTCATGGTTCCAGCTTTACAAATGTGAACACTTGCTGCTTTTCCTTTTAATTATTTGAATAACATTAACGTATTGTCAATAATGTTGAGGTCTGGACTGTTGGGTGGACAAAACTAGCATTGTGAAGGTGTCACAAACAAACTATTAATCAATTCATGGAGAAAATAATCTGCAGTACTTTAACTTGTAACAGAGATTTATTATCCATCCACCACTGTTCACGCTCTACTCTTCATCCTTGTAATTTTTCCAGGGCTCTGCTCTGCCTTACCAGCAGGAAGAGAGTTTGCCACATCTTTCATGGAAAACCTTGGGAGTGATGGTAGGGATACTCGTTTCTTGGTTGAGGTTGCAGCTCTGCCCTCTTCACAAGGCAGCACCAAGGTCAAGGTGACTGCTGTGGGTGGGGTCTATGAGAGGGAAATAAATCCTGGTAAGAGTGTTTCCTTCAAGCTACCCGACAGTGTAGAGATGAAAGGCAGCAAGAAGTCCCGTCAGGCTGTGCTGATCGAGGCTAGCCAAGATGTCACTGTAATGTCTCTCAACTATAAGAAATTCACGGCAGACACCTCTGTGGTTTACCCAGTGAAGGACTGGGGGACTGAGTATGTCATATTCACTCCCTACAGCTCTCAGACAGGCACCTTTAAAGAATTTTCTATCACCAACCACAAGGCTCCCAACTCTGTTGAGATTTTCCTGCAGGGCTCTGTCAGATTCCA